TGGTTACACGACTCTTACCAGACTGCTTCAAGGGTTTCCTTTCCCGCGTCGTAAACTCAACAGACAAATCGGGCAAGTCAACTAGCACCGATCCGCATTTGCAAGCGCCGCCCCCTTCACATCAAACTCCATCACAGCAGGAATGGTATAGGCCACTCGGTCGGAGCTGGATGTCGATTGGCGATCACAAGGATGATGATATCGAACTGAGTACCGTGGATTTACTTCCTGTACCCAAGGCCGAGACCAGGCCTGACAACAATATCTCTCCGTCTGGCAATGGCGACAAGTCAGACTTGTCGGCAATCGCTTCTATTGGATGCATTTCCGACCGTTCATATTCTGAGGAGTTCATACGCACTGAAAACGGCATAGAGGGCACTTCGACTCGCAGCGGACCTTCCTGAACCAAGACCAAGAGTCGGATATACATAAAAGGCAAAAATAAGTCTGGGTACTTTGACTACACGACATGACAATACAAATCCTGGCGTTCTAAGTCTGCTTATCCAAGCACATATCGCCATATCCAACACCACCAGCATATCTGTACCCGCTGCTATATACCCAAGATCCTCGACGTCTCGAATCTTCGGCTTTTCACACTGCAAAATAGTCGCAACAGGATCCATGCCGCTCAAGGTGCCGTTATCTTCACTCGCCATATCCTGTTTGAACTGGAACGATGATCACCAGAGGACTTTTCACGAATAGTAATGTTTAGAATGAACCCCGCCAACCCTGTGAGTGGCGGAAATGTGTAAAACTAGAGAATGAATAGAAAGAGCATGAATCATGGACCGCATTCCGGATCCTTCGACCTGTGTTTCAATTCTACCTCGCCGAAGACCTTCGTATTTATTACCGAGGCTCGCTTACCGAACTGCTCTTGAGCTTTTCCGAGAAAGATCCTGTGGGTTTGCGATGAGAAGTGGGGGATCAGAATTAGTATGCCACGTCGCGACAGGGATAGAGGACCTGGAGCTATCTGACCATCATTTGACGAACGGGTCGGTGGTGCTTCGGGGAACCTGATCCACACGCGTCAAAGATAGGACGTACTACTACCCTGAACCCGGAAAATCATGGGTTCCCGCACATCTGTCTCTCCCTTCCGTACCTTCATTTAAGCTCAAGACGTCAAAGGGACGTCAGCGGAGTGACGCATGTTCCCCGTCGGTCAAATAGAACATAAATTGCGTGATGCCTGGCCAAAGAGCTAGTGGAACACGTGATCTCGGATTAATCGATGCTCCCAACCAAACTCTTTTCTCGGCATGCCTAAGCAGTAAATTGCCCAGTATCATGCGATTTTTATCTCGTTCCAGTAACGATCAGAAGATGGCTATGGCGGCACAATGAATCCACATGGGAATGACTCGCTGCGATTGATCTAGGATCCTGGGTGGCTGCTGATGTGGCGGTCTCGAACAAGCGTAATCCAAGAATGGCACGACCACCAACTGCGCAAGCGGCCTGTCAAAGCTCCGCTTGGCGCACGATCAGGGAGGTAATGCCGAAGAAACCCCCTAAATTTGGGCCCAGATATTCCACTAAGAGTCTTACATGAATAAGTTTTGATGAGAAAAGGACTTGCTGTTGGGGGAAGAAATCTGGGACTGATCTACTACAGATCTACTCGTGGCTATTGACCGGCATATGAAACATATCCTGTCGCCATTGCATGATCGCATTGTAGCGGAAAGTTTCGCCGCGTCGAGTATTGCCATACTGTAGCTCATTTATTCGTTTCAGAATATTAGATCTGCACTATACACGTTGAGAGAATTACAGAAAGTGAATGTACTAAGGCATAGGGTACGCATTCTATGGCTAGTGGATGGGAGCTAAGTCGAGCGTATCTCGCGCTATTTCAGCTAGTAAATCAACTACACTGAAATCTTTCTCGTGCCCAGCAAAATGCAACTCCGCGGAGGCTTCTTTCGCAGAAATTATTGTATTGAGATGCAGTGGGCTGAAAAGGTGCTGCTGCTACGGCGAAGTCTAGCTAAACTGTGTCGGTATTATAAAAATCTCCATTATTCTTCGCTGACAAGTGCGAAGAACGGCGCCCGAGCGGCAGTTTAAAGTTCACGATGTAGTGGGTTCAAAGCTTATAATATCCGTACCAAAGTATGCTTGCAGGTGACATGTTACTAGTTGCAGGGGCAATCGCTCTAAGAAAGGCGAGAGAAAAGGGATGGAAGAAAAGCCAGTTGCATCTGAGATGCTGGAACTAAGAGCAAAACTCAGGAAAAATGATATAGTCAAAACCAGTATTATTGATGACGACAGGGAGGTAGTTGGTACTAGCTGCCGTATGTGAATGATGACGGGCCAAGACACTAAACCCCATCCAGAGAGGTTCGACGCTACCCTGTAAGGGGTGTATGATGGTAAGAGAGACGACTGATACTTGGGTTCAAAAAAAGAGCAAGTGATATTCCCCTTCCTTTGGGGGTTCTTCTATGACCCGATAGTAATCAGCATTGACGAACAAACTCCGACCGACACCAGCGCTCTATCTAACGCACAAAACGGACTACAATTAGGGAACGGCGCGTGACACATAAGCTCTATGTGTATACGTCACGGGGTTGTAGTCCTGGGATCTTGTCAACAACATGTGTCGGCAGGTAATCCCAAGGAGATATAGCCATCGTGTCACCAGAGGATTGGATAATATCCGGACCAGGTGCTTTCAACCTTGCTGCAAATCAGTTTGAACACATGCAGATATTGATGCAACGCAAGGGTGCCTTCTTTAAGGTTATGGAAAAGCACGGATGACGCAAAGTCTTTCTTTATCTTTTGTTTTGGAACAGCTATCTCTCCTACAATAACATCAACCAGCTATACAGTGTTGATCTTTTGTCAACTGCTACTACTATGAAATCTCTCAGCATCATTAATCTCGGTGGTACTGGTGCTTATCCAGTTCGCGCGTCCTTGAGACTTAGCATCCATGTGCACAACATCTCCGAATAGCTTGAAGCCCCAGATTCAGATCGAAATCCTCGGGCTTTCGTAATTTCTAGCCGGAATGTAGGGGTTGTACAAGCTAAGTTGGATCGTTTCAATCGTGATATAGCTTGTCTTCACTATAATTCTATCGTACCGCACGAACATGTTGAACAAAATTACCGAGGCCAATCCGGCGCGTTCACATCCTTATCAGTGCATCCGAAAAGATATCTAGCTCTGTGAGCGGCCCATGTTCTCGCTTGAGGCAATGATTGAAAAGCTTAGATATCCCAGGATACTCCCGGTTCCTAGTACTAGCAGTGCGTCATAGTCTCTACCACATCTACTCCGCCGCGGATGCTCATGCTATCCTAGAAGGCATCTTAGACGACGACACTTTCGGATAGCTGGGCTGAAGAAATCTCCACCTTTGTTATCATCTAGTACTGGCCGATCATATCCAGCAAATTATTTTCGCCGCTTGATCGACTGGACTTTCATGGAGCTTCTGATGAACAAAATACACATCGACAGCGTTATCAATGGGTTTGATACACGATTTATCTGCAGACATCCAGTCAGAGCGGTATCTTTGCACTTTCCGCACCCCTATGCTCCTCAAGGCTATGATTTAGAATGCTGAAAAAATTTCGATGGCCGCATTACGCTCACACAACGCGATCTTTTTGAGTGGACGAGGCACGAAGAGAACGATGCCGGACCCCCAATCACACCCAAAACAGCAAAATTGGCTGTTACTGCTATGTCTTGTCATTTCTCTGGTGCAGCTAACGATCCTAAGCTTTTCTGGAATCTTATGGTAGACAAACAAGATGTACATACTTTAGTTTATCTTTAACAGTTTGACTTGAGCACCCATTTCGATACAACTGGCCGCCATGAAGATAGCTCACTGGGCCCATACACGAATGACATCGAACTTGCCGGGTACCAAAGATATCTTTCACTGAGAAGAGCCATATTCTAAAGAAGCCAAAATCATCTGCACATGATCATTGAGTGCATTGCCGGGCTAGTGCGCGCTCAGGCTACAGTCTGTGTCAAGCCATGAGGCCATAATCATGTTATTTGCATGGCACATGAACTCCCACATGGATGACTCTGGGCTATCGTTCGCAGCTTTGTAGTCACACAATGTAAGAAAACTGGGGCAGGTCAAACGCTCAAAAGCGTCTTGTACTGACACGTGAAACATGAAACTTGGCAAAAGTTTGTGGAACCTGGAATAGTGTACATGTTGAGCAATGATATTGCTTGTACAAACGGTAGAAATTGCCAATACCCAAATTTCAGGCAACAAGAGCGGGGCTGGGTATTGTTCGAGGTTTTGTTTGAACCAGGCAACTGCTAATGAGGATATGCAGTGAAGGGAGCGAACGTGAAGAGTTAATCAAGTGAAGAAGGAATGAGTCAGAAGATTGCGCTCAAATAGGCAATTCTATCAATTCATTGATCGCACGACTATCCCACAGCGCGGATTGACATGTGTTGCGTACGGATTTGGAAAGACAAACGCGCCATTCCGCAAGCTATAAGAGGCGGCCATCTCCCACCTCCTCCACAGAACCCTCAACCATATATTTAATTGTTATATTCTACCCACTCTCTTCCTATCACAGCTGAGCGTCATACAATAGCCTTCGTAGATCATGATAGATCACGAAGTTATTATATAAGACCGATGTAGTGCGTCGGCGACTCGAGAACTCGGTAATAGCCGATTCTCGAGGGCGTTCCCCGATAAAGAGAGTGTATATATGACACCACCAGGATAACGCGAGAGAATTCTCGCGTCGGTATGCCGAAGCCTTATATATAACGTATCCACTCCCCGATCACTTTTCATTCCACGTATATGACTGACATCATTGCAGATATAAGAGCCGTGGCATATGGCCCATGGGCATTCGTAATTCGTATTTATAGTTTCCTATAATCAAACGGTGTACGAGGCCCTGCTTCAACTGCACTACCCATCTACTAGATACTCACTATCCCACTATATCACCGCTGCAATGGAAGACTTTCGCTTCCCAACCAAAAATCCAATGCTCCCGGATTACAAAAAGAAAGGGTGCATTATCAACGTCGAGCTGATACGGATCACGGCAAAAATCTTCAAGCACCTAAACATCTTCCCCGAAGACGTCGAGTGGCTCGAGAACTTCCTGAGTGAGTTCAAGGGCAACACATCAACCTACTTTGCTCCGTCGTCTGAGGTGAGCTTGCTGGAACGCTATTGCCGTGAGTACTGGCAGATCAACCTTTGCTTCCGGCAACACGTGTCAAAGTAAATGGAGCTTGTAGAGCTGTTTAAGTCAGAGGACTCCAAAAAGGCAGCTGCACGCTCGGCAGCCCTCCCCTCCTGCTTTCGCCCGCAGGGCAATAAAACCACTCATCCCGGTAAGGCCAATTGAGACGACATCAGCACTGAAAGACACTAATCCTAGCAGAACTTGAAGCCTGGAGGGGGGAATACGAGGCGGGATTGGGCGTCGCGCCCTCGTCGAGTAGTCCTTCCCAACCTAAGAAGAGCTTTATGGAAATGGTCGCCAAGGAAGAAGAAAACGAAAGGTTGTATGGGACCAAGGTCACCGGACCAATGTTTGCTCGCGCTATGTTCGAATCGCTCAAGGAGTTGAAGTTCGCTGGTGCAGCCGATGTTGACTGGCTGCGATTCGTTGACTTGTATGAACGCGCGCATAACACCCTGGCCGAGGAACGTCTTAAAATCGAGTCTGATCACATCATGAAGCAGACTGAGTTGGAGAAGAAGGTCGCAGGACTGAGTCTGTCGGAGAAGGAGGACAAGCGCAGAGCAGGAGAAGAATAACTCAGGCATGGAGATAGGGTATGGAGAGGGGGCATGGTGATATGCAAACACCCATGGCTTTGCTAGCGATTGCTGGACATTTTCTGTGTACTGGGAGTCACAGCGGATAAACATCATATAGATAGTATATAAAATAAGTAGTTTGACAGCCCAGTTGGCGGTGCTGAAGTGGGGTGCAGCTTAAGCTCCAATTTCAGCACCATTATCTAGGCTATTACATTACTTATTTTATATACCATCTATATGATCTTAATGCAGCTGAAGCTGCAACAATACATGTTTTCTTCCTGCGTCAAAGCTTCCTCCCGACCTTTCCACAAATGCAAACTCCCTCGTGTCACTTTCACTTTTAGAATGCGTGATTTTACGACTCAATCCATGAAAACCGCTACTATGAAAGCTGACGGAGACAAACCTTGCCCTGCACGGTACAATCCCTGCATGAATAGTAATTCGGAACTTGCCCTTTACTCATACTGCCATCTTAAGCTACTTGTGTGAAGTATTGTGATCCTGGAACCCTTGGTGTATTTCTGTATCTCTCAATGAACTCTCGTACCTCTGCTACCATTGATGAGGGGACACTGCCCATCGGGATCGTGTTACCCTTATGCAAGAACTTGATCCCTATGCTAGCTGCTCTATCTGCTGGGGTGAGGAAGGTCTCTGTCCGTTGGCGTTTACTCAATGAGTAATTAGGTGCAAAGCTTGATGCGGGATGTGATTGTGCTGGTTTCTTGGTCCTCTACCACATCCAATTCTGACGCGTATAATTCATTCATGCGGTTGATTGGGACAAGGTTTCTTAGACATGGGTCTATTGGACAGGGGGGTAAGCGAAAGGCAAGGGAAGAATAATGTGGGCAGAAACAAATAGGTCGGCGATATGGGGATGTTGGCGATTTCACTTTTGTTTGCTGGGTACATCATATATGTCGGGATCAGGGACATGTAGCCATGCTTACTATAAACTACACAACATGAACTGCAGCCAATTCATCCATGTATTATGTCAAGATATTCCACTTCCAACGTACCATCCCGTCTCGTGGATTTGGTTATTCGATAAGCAGCCATCACAAAAAGCATAACGTCACGTTCACAAAATATCAAAACTTACACCTGCGATGGCAGATATCAAATTATGTTATTTAGCATCACCTGTCGACCAGCGACCTTTTTCCATAGTTTGAAACCACGCCTGACGCCTTGCACGTAATCAATATGGTAATGGATCAGTCAGCAGCACTGCCACGACAACAAGATCGCTGTCTCTGCTCTTCTTCAGGTGATCCTTTTCTGCGCCTCTGTCTCGTGGACTAGGTAGTAGTATAGGAGACCCCCAAGACACTAGGCGGTCTCAGTCTTTGGCGCCGAACCGTATCCAGCAGAACTCTTGGGATCCGCTGCCATGAGTTCAGCACTGTAGATGCGCTTGTAGTCCTGCTCCGTCCAGCCTTGCTGCTGTGCGAGACCGCTCAGGCTGAGGCCTCGAGACCGCGACTTCTTCTGCGAGTCGCCTTGGGAAAGACCAACAGGCGAGTTGTAGTTGAGAGGTACGACACCCTGTCCTGGGAGTGGGAAAGGTGTAGACATGGACGCAGGCGAGGCGACGGTCTGACCGTTGTTGTTGTCGGGTAGCTCTGAATCGGTTGAGAAGTCAGACGATACGGATGCCTCCTGGGCCCTCTTGAGCGCATTCTCGTAGTTGGTCGAGCTGGCGCGAACAACACCAGGTCGGCGGTATCCCGTGTATGCCTTTAGGGCCTCGGTTGGGCCGTTTTGGGTAGGTGTCTCGTTGCCGCCACCGCTGCCCATCAAAGGGAGAAGACGAGGATCGGGAGCTGCCGAGTCGGTCTGGGCGGTGCTGTTTGCGGTAAGGGCCTCTTCGGCTTGGGTACGTGTGCTAGGTGTGAGGCCAGATGGAGTGAAGCTGCCCGAAGACAAGAAAGACCCTTCGGTCGGCGGCATGAAGGACGGCCTCGAAGTCATTGTGGTGGTCTCGCTGTAAGCGTCTGGGTGCAACCTTGGAGAGTCGACGAGAGACTATAAATTAAAAGTGTAGAAACACGGGAAAGTCCTTGAGTCCAGGTTAGTTAGTTAAATGCATCCAGCAATACATCTTGTCCCTGCAGAAAATGGGCAGGTACAGTATGCTTATTGGTCGAAAGCAAGGGCAATGGGGGACCCGGCAACAAAAGCTTACCTTGAGTGTCTTGACTGTGCGGAGTGTTGGTGTGCAGAAGGAATTCAAACAATTCGCTGAAGGGGCCCTGTCCCAAGCGACGTTTCGTGTATTTGAACCAAAGGCGGGTGATGCTATGCCATCATATCTTGGCGGGTGACGTCTTTTCAGGGTCCAAACTTGCGGGGCCCTTTGGCCTAACTGCAATGGGCAACCCTGCGTGCTGCTCAATAGACAATGTTTCGGTGGCAAGCGAGATGCAGGATTGCAATCTAGACCGTTGAGTGGTTGAGTGTGGTGGAGATGCTCTGGGATAGGTGGGAATGCCCGCGGCTGCAAGGGAGTTGCATGTCGCGGTGCGCTAGGGCTACGTAGACGCGGAAGCAATGATGCTATACACGGTATCCATAGGGTAGTATACTCTGATTTAGTGGATTGGAACAACGGGTCTTTATCGTGTCCGCTGCGCGTGACGACTTGCGGCCTGAGGAAATGGTTGGTCGCATAGAGGACCAGCATCCAACTCTCTTGATCAAAACTTAGTGTCCAGCATGGGCTTGCAGTTGGAGGACCGCGATAGGATTGAATACGAGGGAAATTACCTCTGCAAGTTCTATCCACAGGGCAGTCTAGAATCAACAGAAGAACATCTCGTCCCACACTGCTGCCAGTCGATCAATGCATTGAAATCATGCGATTGGATGCCATGCATCATGAGGTCATTGTCATCCTGCCAGCAGCCAAGCACGAGAACGTCAGATCTAAAGATCGAGTGATATAGTACTAGGGCGAGTGAGTGAATTTTTTTCTTTCGTTTTGGGCAGACATTTAGGCGTTGTAGTTACAGAAAACAAGGGTCCTTGTAGTATGCACACAGTAGGCCCGAGAAGTGGCCGCGCTGAGGGTTGCAAGCAATGTCTTCCTTGAGTAGCGGAGCTATTCCCAAGACAGTATAGGCTGAGATACTGCAAACTTGAGCATTTGTTGTGCCTAGATGCAGCGGACCAGAAAGAAATCATGAGTCTCGGCGGTGGGCTTTCTTGAATGCAAACAAGCAGTCTATTCAACTTTTGAACATGGAGATATGAGAAGCACACAAGAATCGCCCGCCAGCGCCGGATCATGCTTTGGAATCACTTTTACTGTATCTATAGGTCCGAGCCACGAACTCATCATGGAGAGCCAAGATACTTGCTCAGGAACTGACCCAAAGACCCAAGCAGAGGGTACCGAGTACTGATGTCTCCATTCCGCCCCAGCCATATGGCATAGACACCAACGAGAACGGCAAGACTGACAGCTCCGTATCGGCGGTAGAACCAAAGACGTAGCTTGAGATACTCGACATTCTTGGCCGCACGTCGCAGGGCCTGTTGTCTGCGGAGGTCCCTCTCCTGCTGTGCGAGGAACATTTCTCCGTCTTCTAAGGTCAGGCGACGAAGACTGTCGCTGGTAGCAGAGGATTTGAGCACGCTGGACGATGAGATGCGCCACCACTCCCAACTATTGAGGCAGGCAGGCGGCAGTCTTTCGTATAGTTCTACAGTCCGGGCGATATGAAACTCGACATCAAACGGTTGTGGAAGTCGGCCCAGCATGACATAGAGTATGTCTTCGTCATCCTGGTCAATTTCTAGCAGCTCGTCCCTCTTGGAAAGTACAACCGCAGCGAAGAGATAGATGGGCATTACAGCATGCCGAGCTAGAAAGAAGTCAAACAATCTTGTGATGTCCTTGTAATCTTGTATGTTGTGTGCGAACATAGTGATAGTGCCAGCAAGGGCAAACGAGGGTTGGCTCTTTGGGAGATGGTCGTACAGGACCGGGTCGGCCGCGCGAAGAATAGGCCGAAGCAGTTCTAGTTGGGCGAGGGCAGGCTCAAGCGATGACAGCATAAAGTCACGGATGCGCAGGAGACTCAGGCGTGCGACTGCAGCGGGGGCATGCTCGGGGCCGAGGACGAGGAGAAAGACCTGGACGATGTCATGGTAGCCCTGAAAGTAGGATAGCGAGGGGTGCCGGCGCAGGACGTCGAGGATGACGTAGGAGAGGTCCTTCTTCCGCTGTTGAAGCTGTTTCTCTGATTCTGATGGGGAGTTAGCATGTGAAGACAGTAGATTCCGGCACGGCCTGGCCTACCGTTCCTGGGGTAGTAGACAAAGGCCCGATTGACGTCGAGACCAACCTGGTGTTCGTCCTCGTGCTCGGGAAGGGCTGCATGGGGTTCCTTGGCTACGTCGCTCTCAGAGCATCCTAGCAAGAGGGGCCCTATGCACATCAGCCTAGTGCTCTGCACAATGCGAACGGCAAAAGCAGCCTACAAGCAGTGCGGCGCAGGCTGTCGCTGACAAGGCCATGCGATGTCGTCGCTAGATGGACGAGGGCGGCAACATCGTCATTGTCAATGGCCGCGCGAACCAATGCCTCCTTCTCCTGCTCGGCAGGCGAAAGAGTAGCGACGGGCGTGGAGTGGCGCGAAGGGAGGCTGCTGGAGCTGGCACTCACTGAGCGCGATAGAGAGGCTGACGAAGTGGGTGAAGCCATGGGCGCGGCGGCATCTCGAGACTGGCTTGATGACGTAGCCAGTGTGTGCCTCGCGTGCGCAGAAGAGCGCGCAGGGGACGGAGAGTGGCGAGGCAGGGCGAGGCCAGACGGGTGTTTCTTTGTCGACGGTGTGAATTGGTTACATGGTGGTTTGTTACGCGCAGGCAGGCTTCGCAGGCGCCAGGTTTGGCCGTGTGAGCGTCGCGCTTCCGTTGCCCTTCGAGCCGAGGGAGCTTGGCACCCCACCATCCACCGTCCACCGCAGACGTCACGTGAGCCTCAATCTCTACACACCAGCCATTCATCTCTGCTGCCGACCCTGCTCGCCGCCGGCCTCAGTGCCTCACCGATAGTCTGCCAGCCCGCGTTGTACACGACCCGCCTCGATTACGTGCATGACTCTCGCTTTTCCATCACCACCCGGTTAGTCTGGCCATCTAGATTTCGCGCCATCCCGATACTCCCTTGATATAGTATTCCCGGGCGCTAGAGCTGCAGGTCATCCCGGCTACAGCTGCCTCGAATTGCTGCTGCTGGCATTTCGCTCCTCACCTTGGCCACGGGATTCAGTCATTGCGAGACTGCGTAGACTATCGATTACATCAACTCATTCCGGCTAGTTATTGTATTCCTAAATAGCTCTGCCCCATCAACCCGGTCTGACAAACTAGCCTGCTCCGACAGGCTCAAACATGTCTCCAAGCGACTTCTTCCACAGTGTACCTTTGCACCTTTTCCTCACTCCAGCTTGAGTATTCTGTCCGCGGCTTCACAATCTGACCATCACTGTCGCCTCCGAACTGTCGCGTCCTGCGATCGTCTTTTAACTCTTCACTATGGCGCAAGCCCATGGCCTTAGGCTTGTCGACGGCGAGTGGGTCTCTATGCCTATCGACGCTTTTCATATCTTGGCCAACACTCAGCAAAATGACACCAAGATGCCTAATGTCGCCCCCAAGGCTGCTCATCGGGTGCCCGAGTATGGAATACTATCGCAGACAGTCATCACTACTCCTCTAAACAAGCTCATTCTGCCCGCCAACATACGCCACGGCGACTTGGTTGATGTTGTCATTGTTGGCGAGGACTACATACATCTCAAGGAAATTCGTGATCATGGCCGTATCCGCCATGTGGCCACCAAAACTGACTTCAACGGCGGCCGTATCATAACCGCCAAGGTGTTCGGCCATCCACGCGAGGTGCCTAGCACGAAAATTGGCGGCCTCCCTTTGCCAAAGACCGACTTGAAGCAGATATCACGACGGCCAGCAAGTGAACGGAAGACCCATTTGCCCCCAGAAGTCGTTGTACTCACTCTCTCCAATAGGACGCTCATGTTCTTGTGGGCCCAACATACTCACACAGGTCTGAGCACTTTCACACACAAGACTGTCAGATTACCCGCAGGGAGCTCACGGTTTGATCGTTTCGGCAGTATCCTAGCTGTCGATCCCCAGTGCCGGGCAATAGCTGTTGCAGCGCATGAGGGTCGCTTCATCCTCTACAAAACCAAGTCCATGGCGGCTTGGGAAGCCGAGGCTAACAAAGGCCGCGAGATGCCAACAGCTATTGAAGATGAGCGTATCATATCAGTCCAGGGGCAAATCATGCACATGGACTTTCTATCCCCTGGAGAAGATGAGTATCACGTTGTTCTTCTTTTAGTCATTGTTCTCGATGGCCGAACAAGGCTTTCTTGCTTTGATTGGGATTGTAGGCAGGGTCTTAGCGAAGCAGCAGCACGCACAGAGCGGTATTATGTTCAAAAGGGTAGGTCAATAGCCGTGGAGGTGCACATTCTTGTAACTACTGCTAATTCATCAGAGGACACTATGCCTTCACTCCTAATCCCTCTCCGCCGTAGCCCTGATTTCCTCTTGGTTTTCGATGAGCACATTTCCGTATACAAAAATATCCTCTCCGGAGACCCAGCATGTACGGTGGTGCCTATCGATCCGAGCTTGCTCATTCCACTCCTACCAGGTGACAGTAAATCAAGACCAAAATGGACAGCGTGGGATAAAACCCTACGCAATCCAGGCTACCCGAAAGAGAGCTTCTACCTAGCAAGAGAGGATGGACGTATCATATATCTGGTCAGAGGACCAGCTGGGACTGTAGAAATGGATGAGGTCGGCGAATGGTCACATCGCATCGACACTGCTTTCGCATGTTTGCGGATTGATAGCTCTGAGACTTCGCAGCAGTATCCGGATTTCCTGATTGCTGGCGGGGCTAGCAACGACGGTCTGCTATGCAAGGTTGGACCATGGCTAACCGAGTATTCCCATCACAAACCGAGGACGAATTCATTTTCGTACATTGATTCGATGCCCAATTGGACGCCTCTTACAGACTTTGCAATTACCAAGCTTTCTACTCCACGCGCCTCCAGTGAGCGTCAGTGGGCTTCGATATTCGTTGCCAATGGAAACAGTCCGCATGGAGAAATTTCCGAGCTCAGACACGGAGTGCAAGCCACAGTGGACGATAGTTTCAGTGGAGTCAATGGCTGTGCGGGCGTATGGGTCGTCGATCACGGGAGTCACGTGGTTGATATTGAAGGCATAATGACAAGACAGCATTATGCAACATTGACAATAACACTCCCACCAGAGACCCTTGTGATTCGTATTGTACGCACGCAACCGGAGTGTGACAGAGCCTTCTCTGGCGCTTGGGAACTAGGCTCGTGGGACAAGTTCCAGACACCGAGCGACGACGACCCACTTGAAGACAGCCTTGCGCGAGATGAGGAGACAATATCTGCATGCCCTTGGGCAAGGAATGTATCGATTCAGATTACAAGGAAAGAAGCTCGCACGCTCCTTCGACCAACATTGCGCCAAGTCGACATACTGAGATTTGAAACGTCACTCTTGCTAGCTGCTTCTCGCCCTACGCATCCGTTCATCGCAATTGTTTTTCGTGAGCAGGGACGCATATTCCTAGAGATTGTACCGATATCGGATGACGGCACCTTCGACAGGACAGCCAATTTCCGTCAACAGCTGCCCTACGATCCCACATGTGTTGAGATATTGGAGATTGGGGGTATATCATACGTGTTTGTCAGCACCTTTGATTGCAAAATGATGCTTTTCAAACACCACGACCGTCAGACGTCTTTGGTGATGGAAGGTACCTGGGACCAAGATTTGCCCGGCGGTTCACAGAAGCTCTGTGAGAGTGTCGCGGTCTTAAGCTCAAATGACCAGCACATCCTAGTCTGTGGAATGCGGGACGGCACTCTTTTGAGCTCTGCATTGGAGATACGAGACCAAAGTAAGTCTGATGCGAAATGCATACGAGATATAGCTAAACTCAGCCAGGAATCTCCCCTATTTCTTGGACATGTACGCACGTCGGTACAACCCCAGCCAAGATTACCAATAGTGAGACTGATGCCTCTTCTGCATTTGTGTCCTGTGGTTCAGATTTCTGTCGGGTACAATTTCCCAGAAATGGGTCATTAGATCTCGAGATTGACTGCATATGGTTCACCGACCGCACACAACCTGATTATGACCAGTCTCCAGTATCCGCTCTATATCAGCTACCCTTCCTCCCAGAGTTGGAAAAGTTTGGAAGAAATCTTGGGGGCTTTTTGTTCGTTGTTGCGGGTGACCGTCTCCTTTTCTCCCAACTTGAGTCGGACATCAGATGGGCAGGTGACAGCACACCTACCCAACCCTTCTGTGACTCCAGAATGGTCCCAAGAAAGATTATTACAGGCGCTAAGCCTACAAGCATACTGTATATGCAAAAACTGCGGCGGGTTGTTGTCTCAACGATGGAAGCAAAGGAAAGTCATGCACCACCACATGGCGAGCGGGTCTTACACTCGTCAATCAAACTGCTTGAGGTGCGCGATGATAGATCAACCAACGATATGGAAATAAAACAAGAGGAACGAGACGGCGTTCCAGAACAATTAGTCGTAGCCCAGTTCTCGCTACAGTACGCGGAAAGAGTATATACTATGGTCGAGTGGCAATTTGTCACTCAGCGGGATAAAAAGTACTCTCTGATCATTGTAGGCACGGGTGTACAAGTGGGAACAAGCCGACAAACCGGGAGGCGACTGATCTTCAATACTGGAAGGTCAGGCTCTAAGCTAGAGCTACAAAAACAGTCTACCTACGACCAACCAGTCTATAGCATTGCATTATGGGACAACAAAACTACTGTTGGTGTCACTGGAAGAAAGTTGTTCATGGAACAATTCTGTGAGGATGACGGAAGGTGTGTATCCTCTGTTGCTTACACGAGAGGCTGACTAATTTCTTACAGGTGGACTCAATGCGCATGGATAGAACTTCCTTCACCTGGCATACATGTTTCCGTTGAACGTCCTTATGTTTACGTATCAACACTCCAGCACTCCCACATGTGTTTTCAGCTAGTGGATAGGGACCGCCCTGGTGTTTTCGTTTTTATCCCACGATTTTCCGATAGCGGTGTGCGCAACTGCTCGCGGCATCTCGTCATGGACGTGCCGAGTGTGAGTGACGAAAAAAGGGACCGTTTCGTACTTGTCACAGATAAGAAGAGTAGTTCAGTGGCCGCTCTCTATCACCCGCCCGAACACACCTACAGTAACGCATCGGAAACGCTGTTTGAAGCGTGCCTTCCCCGCGCTGTAGTGCGTATCGATCGCGGTGACATCCGTCCGCCATGGCGTCGAGCAAACCATAGTGGCAAGATCGCTGGTGTTCTTGCAGACGACGTCTTCGGTGCTTGTACCGACGGCACCATCTTTGCCTTTTCTATCCTCTCTCAGTCATCACGCCATCTCTTGCGCTTGGTACAGAATCTCATTGAAGTCAAAACATCGCGATCCGCCGTACACCAACACGACAAGGTCAAGCCTCGAAGCGGAGACATCTTCCGTATTCTCATGAACGATACTCCGGGGGCTCAACATGGCGACATCATGATAAGAGATGTAGATCCGAGACACCTGGAACGTGCTTCTCAACGTGGACCACGGCATAAACACGTCGATGGCGATTTACTCAAGCGATGGCTGAGTGAGAGCGACAGCGACGTACAAAGTCTAGTTTGCAACGGCGTTGATACTGAGATTAGCAAGCTGTTCGAGGAGTTGGCGCGAGATGTTTGTGGTGAAGAGTCGGATGGCAAGGGGAAGGGGATGAAGGAAGATAGAGAGGTGTTTGAGCAGGTGAAGAGGTGGATGTGGAATGTACTCATGCCCTTGCTGTGAGTTGTGGGGGTTTATGGATATGCACAGGCAATGGCACAAGGGGTTTTCCTACACACGTATGATGATGGGGTATATTCTCATCTTTCGGATTTTGACACTTCATTCTGACATTGAGCGAACTGCTGCGACCAGTTTTGTAGGTAAATCTACGTTTTCATGAGATATCAGTAATGCCAGAATCGACAAAAGCAAATCACATGTGATGGAGAAGGAGTAGAAAGATAGGTTGGGAGCTTTATAAAAGCGATGATGGTATTTGAAGTTTCGGGTATAGTATCGCTTTTTGTGAGAACTTCATGAAAGAAATGGCAATAAAATAAGGCGGGGTGAGATTCGTTGCGCCGTTTACTAACGTCATAACTATCCTACATACCAGGTTCATTCGTGAGATGCATAGTGATTGCTGCTTGATAGTCTCGTTCCGAGAATGTTCGTCACTTCTGGGTGAAATTCCGTTGCTCTTCCTTCACGCTCTCTAGAGGCAATAGCAACACTTCGACAGATCCTCCCTGTGCGCGAGCCCCTGCCCATCATCTTGGCTTAAATCAACAACCAGAGTCCCTTATTGTTCTTTGTCACCACCAACTTTGGTAGCCGTGCCAGCCTCCATCTCGCTACCAACCCTAGCCATCGTTCAAGACAAGTATCGATATCCGAGGATTGTCTTATTTACCCGCTTTCCAACCGAGATCTATAGACACAGCAACCTAAGTCAATATCTCCATTCACCTGTGCTTTCCCAAAACTTCCGATATGGCAGATTTCATATTTCCCGAAAACGTGAATACTTATGAAGACGAGGTTGCGCAATGGATCTCGGAAGGAAACGACTTGGATGCATGGAGGTAATTTGCATTTCACGTTTCACTCTTACTTGACTGACTCAAATCAGGGGAGCTCCATCTAGTCCATTAAGCAGCGACTCATCCAGCGCCACCAACGAAGGCTCGACCTCTGACTTTTTCTGGTACAATGGCAGATGGTATACCTACACCACAGATGTCAGTCCGGATCTAGAGACACTTGCACAGAGTTTATGGGACGGCCGAATCGATCTCGAATCAGAAGTTAGCGAGGTACCCGCCGGCCCTCTAGTCACCGAGGATGACCAAGAAGACGGTAGTAAGATATCTTCACAATCGATCGAACAAAACACATATGTCCGAGAGGATACGCCCATTCCCGACTGGGGCCAGAGCGATCACACAAAATCTATGCCGCAAGCTAGTGAAGCAACCACCACGAGCCGAGAAGCTACTCCGGTCCCTGAACAATCAGCCTCGCAACCGCCTTCCATCGAAAAAGACAATGCCAAACCCTCAGCTTCCAAGCCGGAGGAACGAGACCATTTTCCCGTGTGGGACGGTCCGACCAGATGCCCATATCGCTGTCGAGCTTTACTAGATACAGAAGAGCTCTACGTCTCACATATGCGCACACACAAAGGTAGGAGTTATACCTGCGAAGCGCCCGGCTGTAGCAAAGTCTACGTTCACATGAGGACCTTGAGAAAACACCAGCGGCAGGCCCACGGCAATCCTCAGAGCGGCGGGTGCGTAGTATGGTCCGAGTCGTAGCCTGCTAGAAAAGGCTGCGAGGTATTTGGAGCAACACAAGGCGTTTTGATTTGATGATGTAGCGCTGATGCTACATTGAATTTGTTTGTTTACTGGTTTGGTGGGATTTTGTATCGCATTCCCGGTTTAGCAGTGGTCGTGAATCACATGGTACTCTGGTGTTCGCCGTGTTCTTCATTGCTCCCAATGACCCGAAAACACTACATTCTTTCCAAAGAGAGAACATCAATGAGAATATATAATTCTTGATACATGGACTATTGTTGTACCGTGAGCCTGACGTCGAGCCCGCTCCTGCTCCATTTAGTGGATGACACACTGACTCACAACAGCATCACCCTGCCCCTCTCTCCGACTCCTTAACTCATCTCCAATTCACTACCATAGCCGGTTTTCTTCTCTTCGAAACAATCAGAATAAACCAGTATTTCTTGCTTCAGTCTTTAACTCCATTCACAATCAAATCTACTCAACGATTCCGAAGATAGATTTCAGCAACCTTCACAAATCCCACCTCTCATGTAAGCAAAATTTGGTCGCACTTCTGCCTAGACAAAGACGTACGATCTCCTGAATGTAATAGAGCAGATGAAAGAATATTTGGAAAGCAAGAGAGAAAAGTACAGCGCAACAGTCGATGAGATGAACTCTACCGCGACCGAGGTTACAGTCAAGATGAAGGCTGAGATAGTAGAATTACGCTGCATACATCGAACAGCTTCCCTCGCTCGAGGAGTGTACACAAACATTCCACATGCTCCAAGAGTCCCGGGCTATCATCGCTCGCCAACAGCAAGACGTTTCGGCGCTTGGGGAGGCCACCAAAAAGCTTGCGCAACGGCTGCAAGAAAACATGGCAGCCTCGACATACAAATGTTACGGAAAAGTTCGTGGAGCTCCTGGTCATCAATCAGAATGAGTTGATGGAAACGGCCGAAGCTTGGGACACTATGACGGGAATGGTTCATGCGTTCAAGGCAAGGGCGGATGAAATGACCAGCAAGTCCCAGCCTCCACAGTGGTCTAGTTAAGATGTCACGGCTCGTTCTATGTAGTCATGGAAAAATTTCAACAACATGCTAATACCGTTATTGAGGTTCATAATACAATATGACCATTGAAGTTCCTTCCAGTCCATAACCGTAGGCCACGGCTGCTTCTCTCCATAAACATCGCTTCATTCTAATCTAACCAGGACCTCACACGATATTCGAGCGCCATATAGACGCCGCATAAATGTCTCTTCCATGCCTTTTCCGTTCCATATACTGATCAGAGACCGGTGAACTCCCGCATGAGGTGAATCTACTGTACCAATACTTCTAGCTACCGAAGGAACTGGAAGTACTAGGAACTTTGATCTTTGGGATGCTCTTGGTCTATAGCTGGGGCTACCTGCTCGGGCGGGACAGGTGCTGCCTGCTGAGACGGGACAAATGTTCGCTGTAGAGGTGGAACTAGGCCTCGCTGAAGAGGCGGTACTAGACCTCTCTGCTGGCTTGAGACACGTCTTGGGTGCAAGGGCGGTACCAGACCTCGCTCCGGAGATGGGGCAGGCGCTGGTTGTTGGGACGGGATGGACGCTGGCTGCAGAGATGGTATCGGCACTAGCTACGGGGGTGGGATAGGCACTGACTGCTGGGCTCTCTGAACTAGCTACTTATCGTCAGTTTTTCCCCTCTTGCGAACACATGTTTAGCCAAAAGCCGCCTACCGTGTAACGGAATACACTTGGAAAGATACTAGAGCGGTGATTAGTGTACGATGCCGCTCTCCCTGCTTCATACAGAGCAACGACATTATCTGTCTCCGTTAGCTAAATCAAACAAAATTCCAAAGCTTCTCTTACCTCCACTATCAAAATCATATCCAGCCGGTACGTCTGGTAGTTTGAGATACTCGTCAAGTTGATTTGCAAAGTTCACATATGCGTATGCTGCTTTCTCTGCATGCTCAAAGCAAAAGCTAAACGCTAGTGAGCAGCACTCGTTCCACTGCTCCCACATTTTACTTGACCGTTCGACTATTGCAGTGCCCGCGGTACTTTGCAGAGTCTTCGTTTCATCTACTTGTCGCTGGATATCTGCATGCTCTCGCGCTACACCTTCGTGCCGCTTAATCATGCATACAAGCCCCCATGCTAGTGCCGTAGTTGACAACCAAATTGATAGTCCAGCTGCTGTTTCCGACATGGTAGGGGAGAGGGCGTAGAAAGTAGGTACAGGAGATGTAGAGTAGTAGTAGATGAGCGAGGAGCAATTTTCAACATAATTTCGTCTTGGGGTCTTCTTTTTCACATTACTTATTTTGAAAGTCGCCGAGGGTTATATCTGAGCTCTCATCTAACCGGCTCTTGAAAAACGAAGTCTTCGCTTGCTATAGCAGACGTTGGTGAGTGATGGGTTGATCCAATTCCCAGCGGCTACACCGAGCCCGACATGCGCATTCAAGGAGCCTCACATCTGCTGAAGACTCGACATTGAAATAGTTCATTGTAGATGCTTTCGACATAATGAAACACCAAACCAAGTTTTACATCCACAAATAGGCCCTGTATATTTATGGACGCATTGTCAAATTTGACAATGCCATTGAGATGGGCTCATACCAACCGCAGCGGTTGCCTAAGTATACCAAACACGGTTTAGTTGGCCTCTATGGTCGATCTCGAGGCTTCCTAGTACACCACCAAATACAAACTGCACACATCGAGGTAGGCTCACACCCAACAACAGAGATCCTATTCACAAGACGCACAACCAGAATCCGCGCCGAAATCGCCAAAGCAAGTCGCCCAGAACAACAGGATCCCGAGTGATGTCATACTCCCTCTTCGAGACTAGTCGGATATGCCTCGTCCCAGCTCGCATTCAACGCGTATCGCAGAGCCTCATGTCCTTTCTATCCTCCTTATCACAATCCCATCGTTCAAATGTGCACCGGTGAAGAAAATCCTCTGATAACGTGATTCGTGTCAGGTTGGTGCACTGAGAGCCGCTCGTGGTAGTAGCAGTAGACGACGGGCGTCATGCATCCAAGCCACCGTGCCCTGCCACCTCACCATGCAGCTGTGCGATATGCGTGCCAGATGTCTCTTGGGCACTTCTATTGGACTAGCGTGCCCCTTTTGATGTGAAGGGCACTGCGTAGCTTCATATGGAGGATTATCGTAATTTCAGCCTTGCAGGCGTTGCTAGGGTGAGCGTGCCCTTTGGCTCTGCAATCGAAGGCTGGCTTAGCCTATGGGAATTTGCCCGCATTTGTATGGTAGCAATGAAGCTCAGGTTAGAATGTGTGGGTTGTGTGAGTGGGACGGCTGCTGCGACGGGCCCGAGGATGCGCATCACGGAGTGCAAGTTTTGTAGAGAGCGACTGAGTTTATTGACTACGGACCGATATGTGTACGTGAAGAAGAAATGAGAGAACGGAGATGTGCTGTAAAGACTGTGGTGGTGAGAAAGGAGAGTGCAGGGAGCAGAAAGACAAGCGACAAAAGGTAGCCGCAGTCCAAATAGATGAAGCTGAATGAGTGGCATCCATACGAGCATCATCTTCAATGTCCGACATACTGGTTAAGAAGGGGGTCAGCATCTTTGTGACCTTGCCTGTAATGATCCCGCAACTTATCAGGGCGGTAGAAGGTCTTGTTGCAACCTGAGTGCTTGCATCTAAACTTGTGGGGCAGATGTTTCCTCATGTGGCGGTTTCGTTCTCCTATGCGCCCAAAGGTGACAGTGCACCACTCTTCAAGATATGGGATACGGTTGTCGTTGACAATGGGACTCACGCCACCACGAGGCGCTAGGACGGTGACCGGCTGAAGAACTGGGTTGGGTGGAGCTTCGTTGACGCGGGACACAGCTGTAGGTATGCCAACGGACATGGGCCCGAAACCATGAACGAGGTTTGACATACTTCCAAACGTGTCTGTTTGGTTGTAGTCGAGTCCAGGCTGCGGTCCTCCATATCCCATATCCATAGGGACAATGCCAGGGACGGCGGTGGGGAGTGGCTGCTCATATTGGTTGTGACTGAATTCAGGTTGCAGTTCTCCATATCCCGGATCGAGGAGACCATTGTCAAGAACAGCAGTAGAGATTGGGTATCCATACTGGTCCTGTATGGATCCATGCTGCGGCCCCAGACCCAAAGGGTTACTGTCAAACGCTGGAGTGGAGGAAGGATACCCCTGCTGACTGTTGCCAGGTATGGGGGAATGGTTGCTGTAGTTGCTGTTCCAAGAGTGGGGCTGTGGGTCCCATAGATGTTCACGTCCCTGCACTCGGCGTGTTTGCCCCAGTTGGGGGGCATACCTGCATGATGTTAAAAAAAAACTTACTCGAATTGCATTCCTTCATCATCGCCGCTACCAACAATGAGATTCGAACCCCGTTGACGCTCACTGTTTCGTCCTTGGAAAGGTGGAAGGGAATCGAAAGGTTGATTTTGCATGTTGCCAACTGAACGGATTTCTTATTTCGCGTCTTTGCAAAGAAGAATGGTAACGAAATCCCAGCCGACTCTGATGTAGAGTGAAGCTCAGCTATGTTAGAGAGAGGGAGAGGGAGAGAGAGAGAGAGAGAGGGAGGGAGGGAGAGGAAGATTTAGCTGATAGGGAACAGTAAATGAAGAAAAGTGCAGAAAGGCAACCATTCAGTTTAACGCGTATGGGTATCATTTCCAAGTACCCCACTATGAAAATAGTGGCGTCCAATCACAAGACACGTTGCGAGCCCTTCATACCAGCCTTGACGCACTCTGTCAGCTATTTCAGGGAAGGCTGGGACTGATTGCTGACTATATCCATGTGTCTACCGACTTCACAAACTACACCCATCATTCAACAATTTGACTCAAACCTTTAACCGTGAATTCAGAGATCTTCAAATGCGATATTTGCTCCAAGCTGAGCGACACTTTGGGAAAGTTCAAGTAAGTTGCTGTTTTGTATCTTACATCTGAATGCTGACACCGTAGAGTCGGCACTTGAAAACACATTCAAAGCCTTTTCGGTGCAAAACATGTCCAAGCGGGTTTGCTCTTCATTCAGATCTGGAAAGACATTTTAAAGCCCGCCATCGTGTTGGCAATGACCAATACCGTTGTCATGTCGATCAATGCCAATTTCAGTCGAAGCGAAAGGATCACCTCAAGAGGCATACAAGGACATGCCATTCGAACGCGCTACTATCTTCCGACATAGCGTGCATCCCCTCCACCATAGAAGATAAGGGCATGGTTTCAGAGGCTCAGATTGATGAGACAACATTGACAGTTGGCTTTCCAAATGGGCCCTGTACTGTTTCTGTTTTCATGCAAGCTGCAATCTCCGGCGATATTACCACTTTGGATTCACTGATGGGCTTTGGATTCAGCGTCGATACGAGAGCAGATGATCAATCAACTGCACTACACTGCGCTGCCAGAAGTGGTCAGGCAAGGACGGTTCAGTATTTGCTCGACAAAGGCGCTAGTTGTAACACATTCAACGATAAGCGCCGACAACCACTGCATGAGGCCATCTTGAGCGGCGATTCAGACACATTGAAAGCCTTGATCCAATACACATCGGAAGGCAAACGCCCATGTATAAACGAGGATACCATGCCTTACCTTGCACTTACTAAGAATATGGAAGTATTTGATCTGTATGCAGGACGTCTAGGGATCGAACTCACAGCCACGGACGCAACCAAAATGCTTGACTATGCGATACGCGCAGATAACGATACAATAGTAGCGGCTCTACTAGAACATCCACAAATTAAGCTAGACGAGGTCGACAAACAGGGACATGCTCCCATACATAAAGCGGCTTTCCATGGCAGTTCAAAGGTCATGAGTGTTATGCTCGCCTCTGGCCGAATTGACACCAGTCTCACCACGCGACCCAGAAACATGAGTGCAACTCATGTTGCCGCCCGATACGGACGCACCGAGATAATCGAGCAAATGCTTCATCTCGTTAATCGCATCAACTACTTCGATCATAATCAATGCACAGCATTGCATCATGCTGCAGCCAGTGGCAAATTGGATACCATAGCATTGCTGTTGAGCAAGGGCAGTCATAATGCTCAATTTCGAGACAGGTGGGATTATACACCTCTACATTACGCAGCATTCAATAGCCACTGGAAAGCAGTCCAGTTGCTCCTCGAATATGCTTCTCCCGAGAACGATTGCGATTCAATGAACAAGCCACCAGAGAATGAGGAGTTTATCAAGAAAGACGTAGTCTCTGCACTTCTCAATCATGCAGATTTTTGTAATCAAAATATAGTTGGAACGGGAGGGGAGGGAGAAAATCTCCTTCAACGCGCTGCAAGAAGTGGAGACGACGAAGTTACGGCAGTCTTGTTGGCACACGAAAAGATCGATGTCAATAGATTTTCTTCGAGTAGTCCTGCACTGATTCTTGCGGCACGTCGCGGTCACATCGAAGTAGTAAGATTACTGCTCGAGCACCCAGAGATCGATGTTAACAGCCGAGAGTTCAATCGCGATACCCCACTGGTGGGTGCGGCAAGCCGTGGTCACATCGAAGTAGTGAGACTACTGCTCCAACACCCAGAGATTGATGTCAATATCAAGGGTCGTTGGAATTGGACACCACTGCAAAGTGCCAGGCGCAATTCATACCAAGAAATATTAGACCTTCTGTTGTCCCACGGTGCCATAGAAGATGAGAAAGTTAACACACCAACAATCATTACGGTAACTAGCAACATTCCGATGGCTCTAGAAGTTGATCATTTGCACGATATGGATTTGCAACCGGAGTTGGAAATGAATCCTGACTTTGATCTGGAAGGTTTCATGGAAGGCATACCAGATTGGGAGGAATTTTCAGACGTGGAGGATGAGATGGTTGAATAAACCTTTCCTTGTATCAAGCAAAACACCTTCACACTTCCACCACACTCCCTACCATCTCTTCACAATCATGTAACTAGAAGAAATACCCTTTGTATCTGCTCGCTTCGTCTTGTTCACATAACTCTTGAATGCACATCTACTCTTTATCCACGAAAGAAAACACTATACTCCATATGCATTTTCCATCCCTTACCACTACTCCCTCCCCGACACCCATCCAGAAAAGCCAATCTACATCATCAACATTGACCCAACTCAAAGCACAGCGTAAACAACTCAGCCTCACAAACTACCAATTTTACTCTGCCATGCATACACCTCTCATCCATCCATCACCCCATGCCCCGCCTCACCCAGCCTCAAAAGGGCACGCACGCCGTCTTCCAAGCCGCCAAGGCGTGCCCTTTCTCGCTTACTGCTACCCCCGTAGCCTCAGCTGCATTGGAAACCAGTCAAGCGTGCCCTTTCTTGGGTCACGAGGTTCGCTGAAGCGGGGCATGTCGCATAAGGTGGTTGCAGTTCATGTACGTAGTGACTAGATAGGCTTGGTTTTCGATTTACCGGTGAGATCAGTGCGGTGCGGCTCTGCTGTGAGGCTGGAGACAAGGGGTTGCGTTTTCGGGCTAGCTTGGGGACTGAGAAGTGTGTGTGAGAAGAGTAAGTGTTGATAAGTTGGACGGTTTGTTTGGGGTGGAGGTGAGTTCGTGGAAAGAGAATTGAGGTGGTGAGTTATTAAAGTGAAGAAGCGATAGAAAGAGTAATGATCATCACGACTACAGGAAACAAACAAGCTTGTTTGAATGGAGAAGTTGTTCATTTAATTCATAAGTTTTATGTATCACATAAGGGAAGACAGAGCATCCTAGCCTGACTATGCCATGACCCAAACACGACTGTAGGCACAGTCTACAGAACATTGCCAAAGTACCTCTCCTGCAAACGATCATACGTCCTAGGCATGGTCTCGATAGCCCTGATCGTCATCGGCGCACGCTGCTCCAGAATTTCTCGCAGCCAAGCTTGTGCCTCAACATCATATCCAATACCATTGCTCTCTTCGCGCCTCGTTTGGCCATACGCCCTTGCGAGCAAGACCAGCGTCTTGTACCGGGGCAATACGATGTTCTTCTTGAGATCGTAGGAGCGGATTTCCATCCACTGGTAGCCCTCAAGGTTTTTACGTTGATAGCCAGGATAAAGGTCACGCCAGCCAGGGAAACGAGGCATGAGGAATTCTTCACATATGGCAAATGCATCGGCAAGCTGGTTGCGAAGAGTGAGCTGCTGGACAAACTCGTTCCAGGTAAAACCATCGACTGTGAAGCCGCTGACAAGGAGGTCGATGATGGTACGTTGTGCTTCTTGCATGGCGTTGCTGTCTGTCTGTGCCATTAGGCTACGAAGAAAGATGCGAGCCGGATTGACAAGTATTTGGCGACGATTGTTGGCAATGTTAGACTCTTGGTAACGGCGATGGACTGAAGGGTCGAGCAGAGAGCCATCCTCGGGGGTTATGACCGGTTGCTGCGCAGCTTGACTAAATGTCTTTGTGAGCTTGCTTGCTGAAAAGCGAGCCAACTTCCAAAGCTTGGCTAATTCTTCATGGTTGCCTGCTTTAAGATGTGTTTCCATCATTGCTGTGATAAGTGTAAGAGGTTGAGTGTAGCCCTCGTAACTTGGGGCTGATTCATGAGCCCGCTCAAAAAGCTTCCTGCAAATCTTGTATGCTGACCGAGAGTTGTAGAGGCCAATCATCAGACCAAAATATGACTGCGGAATAGCGCCATAGTTGCGGGAATCGATCAATCGCTCGTGTGTAGGCTGCCGATGAGCAATATCCTCGTTCATGCTCGAGGCAAGCATTTTCTCAAGAGCTTCTTCTACCGCAAGCAGCCGGTAGTTTGGATGTTTGGCGCCCCTTTTTTCCAGCTTTTGAAGATCAGCTGCACCTAGTGCACGTATTGAGGCTGCGTGGGAGCTCTCAGTTTGAGGAACTTTGCGCTGCATCATTCTATCGTAAGCCTCAATCGCCTGTTCAACCTGACCTTCTCGCAGGAAGCCGGTCATAACAATTGCGTAATGAAGTGCATGGACTCGCATCCCTTGTTCCGGCATTGTAACCCTCAAAATCTTGTAAGCCGCGTTCGTCTGCTTCACTTCTATCAGTGCTCGCATCAAGCCGCCATATGTCCAGCTATCCAGAGGGATGTTGTTGTCGACCATCTCTTTATAGCGCTGTCTGCTCCCTGAAAGGTCGCGGTTGAGGGCGTACTGCTGGATCAATAGATTCCATGTGTGGGTGAGAGGATGGCCATGAAGGGTTCCTGCATTCCAGCTTGCGAGCATGCCTCGAGCAATGGCGTTAGCTCCTTCCGGGTCACCTGCATTCAAGAACGCCTGTACGTAGCCTGATCTTGCGCGCACATCCGAGCCGAGTTGCACTCCCATTTGTTTTGCGCGTGAGAACAATGTCTCGAAAGCCTCGACATCGCCTCTGTGCGCGCAAAAGTCGAGTAGAGGCCCGAATGTTTTCACATCGGGTACTAAGCCGCAGTTGATGCAGTTGTTGAAGCAATCCAGAGCGCCATCAAGGTCGTCTGCACGAACGTACGCAAGCAGCAAAATGTTCCAGCATGTGATATCTGGGATCATGTTGTGCTCAGTATGTATGCGATTGAACTGTGTTATCGTCCCTTCGACATCTGCCCGTCGAGCATAGACATATGGAAGCGCAGACAGAACCTTGAGTTTAACTTCATCCTTGTAGTTTGTCTGAAGCTCCTCAATGCATTCATGCACCTTCTCTGCATTTCCAGCGGTCGCGTATGCTTGGATTAGGTGTTTGAGCAATCCGGGTTGTAGTGGCCGCCCAGGGTAAAATGTGCGCAAATCTTGGATATGATCCTCAATACGCTGCCACCCGCCCATCAAGCTGTGCTGGTAAATCAGATTTCTGATCAAGTTTTGTGAAGGTCTCAGTTCAGAAGTGGCGTTGGGAGTATCTACATAATGACCTCGATACCTTCTGTACAACTCGAGCCAAATCTTCCTCTGGTTAGTATATTTTTGATACCGAGGCAGCTCGACCATTCGTTTGATGGCATACTCATAGCAGGCCGAGGTGGGGAGATTCAGTGAATGAAGATCGTCAAACAACCTGATGAAGAAGTTCCAAATGAAATTTTCGTCTGGGTTTGTTGTGTTCAGAACCCGATCCATTACGTGAGGAACGAAAGTCATGACAATGCAGGCCAAGTCTCTTTCCAGCTCTGGAGATGCCGTGAGTTCATGGTGGAATTCCCGGACATGCCTGAAAAAAGATTGAAGATGCTCTAGTAGTTCCGGCAATTCAGCTACGCCGCACCAGATTTCTGGAAGCGTTTGTCCGTGAAGAATCGCCAGATATAGAGGTTTCCCACGCACCCGCAGGGTTCGTCGTCGGAACGTCCTGAAAACACGAAAGGTAAGATCCCACTGCTCGTCAGACACTGTTCGCCTAAGAATGACATCTATGCCGACACGTATCATGTTAAAATCCATGGAGGGGTCGATGTCCTCAAGCGACTTGATGGCTGGGCCAATCATTCCGAGCGCGATGTACGCTGACATTGCCGCTCGGTACGAAGACGGCTGGCGAGCGGCTGGTGGAAGCTCGGAAAAAACCTGTAGCACACGACCAGGCAATACTGGCCCGCCATCTTGCGCAAGGTATTCTAGAAGATGGCGACGTAATTCATCTTGCGTCGCTGCTTGGTCTTCAAGAATCAAAGTATACAACTGCCATGCCAGTTCCTGTTTTCCAGGCTTCGGCAAGCGTAACAGTGCCTTTAGCTCCGCAACAGCATCAGATCGTCTGACTAGTCTTTTTGCCTCATTACGGGCCTGTTCCATGGCGTCCACGCTTATATTTCCTCCATCAGACAATGTTTGTTCTCGAAGTGTAGCAAAATGACGGATCGCCTGTGGGGACCGTCGTTTGGTATCCGTGATTTTGTGTCTTTTTAGGGAGAGATTCCTGAGTAGATCAAGCGTCTTCTCCGGATACAGAAAGTCGAGGACTCCACAATCGCTGATTTTGGCGTTCGAGGAGAGTGGATCTGTCGTGGCTCCATCGTCAACATCACCATTTGTGTGTTTGATGGGCGTGGAAGATGCAGCTTCCGAAACTTGCAGATTGAGACCGCCTGCAACGTGATACCAGATGCCGGAATGCAGCATACGCCGGTTGCGTAGACATGGCTTCGGAGCGCGGAATAACTGGCGTCCGCAGGATTCGAGGCATGTCGAAGCACGCTCGAGCATCACCCGGGCGTGTGGGAGTGCAGATGATGCCAGAACAAATTACCGAGAAACTTGGAGGAGGCTATAAGCTGGTCTGGTTAGATTTTCCAGTGTGGGGACGAATGGTATAGAGCGTCGGAGTTTGCTCACATGTGTGCATGCCTCCAAAAACTGAGCGACAGCGGTAACAAAACAAATTTCGCGAGAACCAGGCAGCGACAGTGATGGGCAGAAGAGTGCACCGGAGAAGTGCAAGAAACTATGGTACAGGTACAGGCATAGGCACAAACAAAGGGAAAGGCAGACTGTGCGCGTGGCGATGGCGGGCCCAATGTCTATGATAGTATGTCGAAAAGTTTACGGGCGCGCTATGATCTGATGTTCCGATTGGCTTGGCAAGGCTGAGGGACAGCTCGCCAATTGATGCCCCTCCACATCAGCCGCATCCCCACCACTACATCGTCTCTCCCCAACAACGCCGCCATGGACATCACCAAGTTTATCACCGCCTACCGCGAGTCGGCCTTTCTCATCGGCGACTACAACACCTACCGCGACCAATTGGCCCGACGCCTCCGCATCGTGAACAAGAAGCTTGGACGGGCGACCCCCAAGAATGCCAAATATGCTGCAAAGGCCCCGGTGACCACTGAGGAGATCCAGAAGAACAGCGAGTATGGCACGCCCAAACAATTGCCCGGCTACGCGCTGACCAACCCAGGGCTCTTCATCTTCTCCTGCTAAACTCCGAGCGCGCATGGGCACAAGCAATGGCCATGAAGGCCTCGCACTCGGAAGACAATGCCGACAAGAACATCACCGGCTCTACCCGCAAGCACATCATCTCGCGCCTGCACAAGGCCGTCGTATACGCGAATCAGGTCGTCCAACTCGTCTCGGACACCAGCGCAAGCGGAGCGTTGGACACGGATGTGCTAGAAGCGAGGGCGTATGCATATGTCATGGCTGGAGCGCAAGAGTTTGAAAAGCAAGCCGAGGGAACCAAAAGCAAGAACGCATCGCCGGAGCGTTGGGTCCTGTGTCTTCAAAACTACTCCGCAGCGCGGGTCATTTACAGCGCCCTATTCAAGGCTACGAAGAAGGATTTGTTCAAGGAAGTATTGGCAGGAACGACGGATCCAAGCATTCGCTATGCTGCCTACCAGAGTCGCATCCCGCGTACTGTGGGTGTCCCCTCTGTTGCGATCAAGTACTTTCCCAAGGACGATGCAAATCTGGTAGAGGTCGTGCAGAAGTTAGACTCTGCAGCTTTGGAGGAGGAGAAAGCAGCTGCGTCTCGTAAGTCTAGGAAAATTCCACTTGCGGAACTCGCTAACAGAAAGGCAGACTCGCAGATAACTTGGCGCGGTCGAGCAGCCAATGTTGTCGATGCTGCAATCGGGCAGGCATTGGCATCTGTCGATACAGCCTCTTCTGTCCTGGACGAAACTGCTACTTCATCCGCATCACCCAAAGACCGAGCCAACGCATACGACGACATTCTTATCGCGAGCCAAGACGCCGTTGACGCAACGCGGAGAGCAATTGAAGAGCTTGAAAAGGAAGGCGTGGATGAGGGTGATGCACGCATGCAAGATCTCCGGGTAACCAATCTCGCCGTCAACTATGACCTTATATCCTGGAGAGTGGGGCGTAACAGGGTGTTGATCGGCAAAGACGATGGCCTTACTTTCCCAGCTAATCCTCCTCAAAAGCCCCGGCGGCAACGTAAAGATGGGAAAGAGTGGGCAGAGCGCGAAGAGCCCACTGGCCGCAAACTGGCACGGTTGCGCGAACGGACTGCTTTGTACGATGCCATCCTGCAGAGTATTGATTCAGTCAAGGACCTCCGGGGTGCTGCCCGCGACACTGATTTTATTGCTGAGCTTGACGGACAGCGTGCATACTTCCAGGCATTGAAGTGTCTCAACTTGTCTCATTCGTACGCCTTCCTGTCGACGCCCAAACAAGCATTGGCGCTCTGCAGCCGAGCCCTGGGCCTCGCAAGCCAAGCGGCATCTGCCCCGCGCTCTGAATCGCCTTCGACGACCAAAGCACCGAGATTGCAAGTGACGGAGGAGCAAGCTCAAACTCTCAAGAAGGCCCTGGAAAACCTTAACTCGCACTACCGCGGGGTAGTAGCGCTGTCACAGTTGTCTGCCAATTCTGAGACGGCCACGAAGCCTGGACTAGCGAATGCGGCACCTGTGGTGGAGAGGCTCAACGAGTACCCCTCCTCGGGGTTGGTGGACCTGAAGAATCTGGTTACATGGCCTCCCAAGCTGAAGCCTGTGCCAGTCAAGCCGCTGTTCCTAGACGTGGCGTGGAACTACATCGAGTACCCCGGACGCGTACCAGCGGTGCAGCAGGCAGAGGCACAAAAAGCACCGGTGGAAGAGAAGAAGGAGGAGAAGGCGCCAGCCAAGAAGGGGTGGTTCTCGTTTGGTAGATAGTCAACAGTCAGCATGCAGACAGCAGGGGCACATCCATGAAGATCGCCGTTCGTGGCCTGAACTCAGTTGCGCATGCGGACCCCGTGATCAGCCCCCCGCGTAATGGAAAAGACGATAGTAGACGGCCGTGGGAGGGTATAGGCGCATGGCGATGGGCCTGAGACACGCTGTTACTCCAGATTGAGCGACGGGCTCCTCGCGTGAGAGCAGCCTCTATTATCGCGTCAGCCACAGATTGGAGAGTGGCCGGGTCTGATTGGCCTAGCGCGCGGCTCGTGCGCCGACAGATTGCCTTTTCGGGGATAGCGTTCTTTGAGCCTCAGGGGCATGCGCATAAGCGCCACCCTACCGTGAACCACCACCACGCGCCTTGTCGGCACAGCTATTTGGTTTGGGCGACAGCTGTTGTGCTAGACCCTGCAGAACATGGCCCAGCACCAGCCAGCGAGAGCCGTTGGCCGAGGCTGACGAGCTGAGCTGAGCCTGTGGGCGGTGCCACGTTTTGCTTGTGACAACGGCCGAGCAACTGGCTGGGGTACTTACATAGATGATGATGGGATTGCATGTCCGACGTCGAGAGACGCAGCATCCAGGTACTACAACGAAGCCAAAACGAGCCAGGTCCAAAAGAGGCTGGAGGGGCGCTTCGGGCCAGCAGCCTCGAGGTCATGCAGGTGGTTAGATTAGTTAAATTAGGATGGGTGGATATCGATAGCAACCCCTTGCATCGATACGGGCTATGGCCCCTTATCCGCAGACGCGCAGAGAAAGTATCGTGTGTACCTTGCAGCTCAATTTCTGGTCGTGCTCGTTCTTCTTAACCCACACAGCGCCCTCTCTTTGACACCTTCTCCCTCTCGACCTTTTTCCAGCTGCCGCTCTTGCGCCCGTCACTCTTTACCGTCGCTCACTTAATTAATACCAACCACACACAGTCTTTTCCGCTTCCAATCCTTTCTTGCTCGCGTTTTCTTTGGGGCCCATAACCTCCAAAGCCTGCTCGTTCGGTATACAAGGGATTCCTCCATCCATACGTTTCAGACCTTGTCGAGGAGCGCCACGCGTTTCTCGATCTTAATACTTCACCACGGCTTCCGCACTGGCTACCGCTATTCTTCCTCGGCCCCAGGTCGACGATTCTTTTCGCAGACCATCGATCCTGCAGGTTTTTGACCTGCCTGCCTTCAAGACGTCGCCCCCTAGCCTCGACGACAGGCTGCCGTCCATCGGCCACGATATATCTCGACCCTCGTCAAGCTCTACCGTGGCTTCCCCTCCGCACCACCAGCAGCAGCAGCACAGTGGCAGCAATGCCTCGATCCAGCTGCCCTCCCTGGCCACACTAGCCTCCGCCGCATCCAATTGCCCCACCGCAAACTTAGCCAGTAATGATAATAATGATAATACGAGGAACAACACGCCCGAGAAGAAGATGCCATCCCCACAAAGGTACGTTGCACACCCCCAGGCCAACATGGCGCCAGCAGCAGGGCTCTGCGTCGGCGGTAGCTGCGGCCCGCCGTACCTTGAGAACTGGCTTATCGCAAAAGCCTTGGCGAAGTGCCGCACCTCAACTTTTCCTGCGCCTCGCTAACATGGAGTCCAGCAAACCCTCTAATGGCCTCAGCATGACTTATGCAACCTCTGCGCCCGCGACTGCTGGCGGACAGGCAGGCTCTCCGGTACGTCCTGCGCCCTCCATTGTTGGTGTTGTTGCGAGGGCGTGTCCCGCTCTATCGCGCTCCAAATTTGTCTCTTATCTAATCGATAGCCACCACGCATTTATGATGCTGGAGCTTCCACTGTCCTTGTGCTGACCTTTCCCAGCCCGTCTGCCAGAACTGCTCCACGAGCACCACGCCCTTGTGGCGCCGCGATGAGACAGGCGCGGTCCTCTGCAATGCCTGCGGTCTCTTCCTGAAGCTGCACGGTCGCCCACGTCCCATCTCCCTCAAGACTGATGTCATCAAGAGCCGCAACCGCGTCAAAACCGGTGGACTAGGCGGACGCAAAAGGGTATGCACCATCCCGTCACCCCGGTTTTTTGCCATACACGTACTAACAGTCTGCAGACAAGCGACCAAGGCGGTCTTCCCGCGGCGCACCCCGATGCAGATGGCCAGCTCGCGCTCGCCCAGCACCGTCGTGCGTCTGGAAAGATGTCCTCGGGCCTGTCTGACCGTTCGCAGTCTCCCATCTCACGCACTGGCACCCCAAACTTCAACCATCCCTCCAACATTGCACCCCAGCACATGTTTGAGCAGGCACTGCACGGCGACTTCCATTCACCTTCACTTCCTGGCTTCGGTCTCCGAGCTCCTTCACCTGCTACATCGTCAGTCAATGGTTCTCACCTCGAAGCCCCTCTACCGTACGAGACACTTGCTGCGCAAAACACTGCGCTGAAGACTCGTGTTTCCGAGATGGAGCTCATCAATGACCTGTTCCGCAACCGCGTCAGCGAGCTCGAGCAGAGCGAGCAGTCCGCGCGGCAGACGGAATCTACACTGAGGAAAGAACTCGAGGAGGTTAAGCAACGAGAGGCTGACTTGAAGAGGCGGCTCGAGGAAATTGAGAATGAAAGCCCCAGGCACAAGCGGATGAAGATGAGTGAATTCGTGGACGAGAGCCGCGCGGGTACGCCTATCAGTTCTATGGTAGACTAGGCTCGAAAATCTTGCGATGAGGCGTTTCCTTTGATTATCTAACGACTGTTCCATGCATGCGGGGAAATGTTCGGTGGTGCTGGGTTGAGGTAGTACTCGTCCCATACCAGCTTGCACCCCACGAGAGTAAAGTGCCGACGCTTGCTCTACCTGGTCTGCAAGACCGTGTAATGTCTGAATACTACTTCTTGTCGCCAATGCTCATGGTGGTGGCTGTACTGTAATCTTTTTTTTCTCTGCTGATACCAAGTGTTGACGAGGGTGTGCCGTACGAATGTACGGTTGAAATGGCTGTATGGGTTAGAAGCTTGGAAAAGCGGGGAAGACAGGGAAGGGAAGGATAAGGAATGTGTTTATCAAAAGTCTTGCTGTTGGGTCAACTTAGTTACCATTAATGGGATACGAAACATCGAAAGCTAGCATGAGCTCATTTGCATGTACGTGTTGATATTGGGTTGGTGCCTCTACACTAACCATGATGTAAGGATTGTTTGACCTCAATATTCCAGTCCTTGGCAGACTAGAGGCTTGTTTGAGCGATATGAGTTGAAGCTCGAATTTTGTCGTTGAAAGTGAGCATTCATGTATGAGTATTGGTTTGTGCTGGTAAGTAGTACTCTGCAATATGAAACAACCATGTCTGTTCGTTGTGGGTGATGCAATAACCAAGGGTCGCATGTCATCATGTCAGATGGTTGGCAATAGTATATGAACGTCAAGACATTAGTGGGTTAGACACATTTCTAGCCCGTCTGTAGTACTGCTTGAGTAAAAGACTGTGAGGAAGTTTCTTGGTAGAGTGGTGTAGTAGGAATGTCGTCTCTGCAAAGTATTTTGCATCAGTCATGGAAGCTATAACCTTGTTTCCCCTCGTTCATGTCAAAAGCCATTGTGATGGTTAAATGCGATAAACTCCGAGAAAATTGATACATACAGATCATTCTGAACACTTCTCGCCAGATTGACTGTTCCAATTGGCGCTGTATGTCCATTGCGATACTTCCCGATGGCTGTGTGTCGTGGTGTTGATGGAGCCCGGTTGCATTGTTCAATAGGATGCTGTCCTTCCGAGTGTGATCCCCAATGCGCATCACCAGCAAAGATACAATGGGGCCATTTCCAAGCTTTAGACTATCTCAGGACATACCTCGATATTCTCCCATCTCCTAATCCAATTTCAACCTTTGAACCGTTCAAGAAGGCACACAAGCGATGGGTGTTCGGGAGTAAACGGGCAGCGCTAACCCGAAGTGAGCTCCCGCACGGACTCTTGGCAGCTAATCAACCCTTCAGCGAGTTTTTGCATCCACCTCCTCCATCCTCCTCCCACCACTCCGCATCCATTGAAGGACCAATTCATCTCCAACTCATCTCCACTCCGACCGTCAACACCATCACCATGGTTGCCATTGCTCGCTCCTTCGGCGCCGCCCGTGTGGCCGCCCGCGGCTTCTCCAACGCTGGTATGTGTCGCGCCTACCGCAGTTGCTCAAGCCATTGGTTTTGAGCTCTGCAAGCTCATCAAGCAGCCATTGACCATCATCTCGCAGCCCGCCAGCCCCAGCAGAGCACTCTGGTTGCTGCCCGCAGCGCCTTCCGCAACAACGCCGCCCGCAACATCATCCAAAAGCGTGGCATCGTCGCCGAGTCCACCGCTGCCGCCATGGTCGCTGCCGCTAAGATCCAGGGTGCCGGTCTCGCTACCATCGGTCTTGCCGGTGCTGGTGTTGGTATCGGAACGGTTTTCGGTGGCCTCATCCAGGGTGTTGCCCGCAACCCTTCCCTCAGGGGTCAACTCTTCCAGTACGCCGTTCTGGGTTTCGCTTTCGCTGAGGCCACTGGTCTCTTCGCGCTCATGATGTCTTTCTTGCTCCTCTACGTTGCATAGATGGGTGCATTGATTGCATCGACTGCCGGACATATTGGGGTCAACGGTATGGGGGTGCCGCAAGGTGGAAAAGTTTTCTTGCGGATGGGTGTGTGCATAGGGACGACTACTACCTCTTTTCCTACTCTAGTGGCCGGTCAGATTGTGTAAAACATGTACTTTAGAGAGCAATCTGAAGAGCAAGCTACCACTCTGGCTCGCTTTCCTTGTCTACGCATGCGTGCGGAAGCTCTAGCTACGGTAATGAGACGTGCGGATGAATCATGTTAAGCTCAATGAACCCAATTGGATATGCAAAGTTAACGACTAAGCTGCTCGACGCCCGTGCCCCGTTCCGTGATGAGCTGTGCCGACTTGAGCTCTCCGATGATGGGACCTGATGATGCCAAGCCTTTTTACCCAACCTCCGCCTTGTGTGTGACGACGCCGAACCACGCTTCCCCAGCTCGCTTGGCTGGCTGCAGTGCTGGTGTGTGTTCTATGCTCTTTGTTCTTCGCTCCATCCTTAGCTTCTTCTTGTCTGGCCGGGCCCTTGAAAAGGTCAATTGCATTTCTCGAACCCCGCGATAGCTTCCGTGCGGCCCGCACTAGTGATACGTACAACGGCTTGCAGTTTGCGCTCAAGCACGCCCTCGCCCCGACACCAGCACATCTGCGCATATGGCAAGTGTTATGTTCTGCCAACCATGTTCATCACATGTTATTGACCCGCCCAATTATGCGCAATGACAGCTTGGCAAAAGTTTGCGCTGTCGAGGGCTTGGTAATCATCGTACTCAATCCCTTGTTGATGCTAACTTATAGCTCGGGACATCTTTGTTGACTAGAGGTATGGTTGCTTGTGTACTACTTCCTTGGGCCATGTTGACGTGTTAGAAGATGTTACTTTGACGACTCAATGCGTATCGTGCGATATCTTTACCAACGTCAACTCAAGCGCTACCCGAAGCTGTGCACCATCCCGAGTGATGTCAGACCCGCGAACACACACGACCCCTACACACCAATATATAACAATACACACAAAGGAAATCAATTATTTCACAAGGCGCTATTCATGTTGTAACGGTCAGAGAACTGGAATATTGTGACTACTCATGCACCGATCGCACACAGTATCATGCAGCGTTGAGGCAGGTCATGTTAGAGAAATATCCCTCATCCAACATGCTGTACAACCTCGGCGTGGGCAATGACTGACGCAGGTCAATGTAGAGAGGTCGAGGTTGCGATGTTTCAGATCTGCGTTTGAGCGGATGGTGAAGCCACTCCCGAAACAAGCAACACGACCAGATACTCCCCAAACGAGGTATCAGAAAACCAAACGAACCCAGCATTCCTTGCACGGAACGGAACAATTCATGCAACTGATCATCTGAACCGGTACGAAAACATTCGGATTGTTGCAATACCGTGAAACCAAGGTAGATTTCGAGACAAGCTACAACTCACCATTCCGCACAGCTTAGTCGTCATTGTTTCGCCCGTACAATCACTTGAGATTATCATATTTAGGTTACCATAGCCGCCTTGTTTTTGAACCAACCTACTTCATCTCCTCAGTCCTTTCATACTCTAACCTTGTGCCGGTCACTCTATTTGTTTGTATATATTTCTTGTCTCGCTCTCCTATAGCTTGATCTCATTCAGTAGCAATCATGCGTTACACATCCTTCCTCACCGTCGCTGCATTCTCCAGCATTGTCTTGGCTTCGTCAGGTAAACTTCGTGAATAGATATATAAAGAGATAAGCACATCTAACATGATGCAGTCGCGCGTGCCTCTCAGGATGATGTTGCTAGCATCCTCGAGGCTCTCCGTGAGAACAACCCCGAGGATGCCGAGGCCGCTGCTGCCGTTATGAATGTCAAGCTCCGTCGTCAAGATGACGTTGCTTCCATCCTCGCTGCTCTCGCAGCCAACAACCCTGACGATGCGGCTGCTGCCCAGCAAGCCGTTAACGGCGCACAGAAGCGTGCTCCTCAGGATGATATCAACAGCATTCTTGCCGCCCTCGCAGCCAACAACCCAGATGACGCTGCTGCTGCCCAGCAACTCGCCTCTTCTCCGATGCACAAGCGCGAGCCTTATGTCGTTCCCAACTCAAAAGCCGTAGAGCCTCTCTTGAGCAAGCGCCAGGACGACATTAACAGCATCCTTGCCGCTCTTGCAGCCAACAACCCCGACGATGCGGCTGCCGCTCAGCAACTTGCCTCCAAGCCAGCGAGCAAGCGTCAAGACGATGTCGAAAGTATCCTCGCTGCTCTTGCGGCCAACAACCCAGATGATGCTGCTGCTGCCCGCCAAAGCATCCAGAAGAGACAGGATGATATCGCATCTATCCTTGCGGCTTTGGCACAGAACAACCCCGATGACGCAAAGGCGGCGCAGTCGCTCGCTAAGCGATGGATGGCGTAGATTCTCTAAATTTTTTAATGTATTGTGCTAAAAAGGTGGCGTGTTGAAACCTTCAGATTGTACAGGTGGGTAGATGAGATGGGATGGAACCTGGGATGGGACTTGTATATAGTTGGATAGTTTTTTGTGTATTGGTAAGAAAATTATTTCAGGCAATTTTTTCTTTGTCAGTTCTTTGCTACGAGTTGTTTTTTGTCTGCTGCTGGGGTCTTACGTGTGATGATGGTGTAACCGATGCGCGTGTTGACTTCGCTCATGTGGGAAACAATGGTTCTTTCTAGATTTGCCTTGTTATTTTGTACTTCAATATCAAATAATGTAGTAGAATCGATGCAGGATACACTGGATAGTCGCGGTTCTCACGTCGTGATGTGTAGGGAAGGCTGGATCGGCTTCTTGAATGGCTCAGGAAACGTATTAGAAAATCCTTATTGCCCGCAACCTGCAAGTACTTTATTATGAACAACTAATTCAATGCCATTGGACGTCAACAAATTGATAATTGTATGCAGCGATATTACCTATTAGATCCAGTTATATGATGTACCAAAAATACTCTTGATGGATCCCAACCAAAAGTGTCCGACCCAGCCCCATCTTTTACCCCGCATTGCCCTCAGTCTTTGTCATCCCAGATTGCTTCCTCCGTTCAATCACAACAACGTATAGATGCCACAGGCACACGTGGTCTACGTTTTCTTCGCAAAGTTTATATAATCTGGATTTGGAATTTCTTCAAAATTCTCCATCGGCAAGATGGCCGAGTGGTCTAAGGCGGTAGATTTAAGTCTTGTTAAGACCCCTACTGGAGAAATCCGCGTGGGTTCGAGTCCCACTCTTGTCAGCATCTTTTTTTGTTGCTACACGCTATCTGTGTAAGTATGGAAAGAGATGGGGGTAGCTTTTTTGGTGGTGGTGGTTGGGTGGAAAAACAGGTATGGAGTGGCGTGTACGATCGTTCTGCCAAAATTAGAGTTGGCTGATGTACGAGGATTAAGTCGGTTGCGAAGATAAGAGAGAGAGCAAAGAATATTGAAATAAGATGGAAAAATTTTCCGGATATTGGGATCCGACTTTATGTTCTGAGCATGCCGCAAGGTATTTGTCATACATCAAACAGGAGCTTCCAATTCCTCTAGGCACACTCATCACCACTTCTATCTCCAACACCGCTCTCCTGCTAGGTGCGTCGTTAAACTCTTAACTTACACTGGCTTTATGCAAAGGGAATATCATCAATTTTCCATGCATAGTCATTAGCTTCAGCATTGACACAAATACTGTCCCTCTAGCTAGACGACAAAGAGCGTACCCGCCGCTCTCTGATTCAGGATAATACTACAACATTAACTACTATTAACCTCATCCGTCGCGCTTATATCCACTTCTACTCCTCAGCACCTCGCCATACCGCGCCAGCACAAACGGTATGGATGCACCCAGAAAACTCAAACAACCCAATAGGGTACAAGCCCATTGTGCGCCTAGATGCTTAAACATCTGGACTGCAAAGAGGGGGAAAACAGCTCCAAGTACATATCGCAGAATGGCGTTGGAAGCCATTGCACTCGCGCTGTAGAGCGGTCCATATGTGTCCGTCATGTACATCATGCACGCCATGAATATGAGCATGTTGCCGCAGCCGAAAAATACTTCAGCGATCGTAGGCACGATCCAGTGCACACCGTATGCAGCTGACCATCCGAAGAGGAAGAGACTGATGGTCAAAAGGGGACCGCCAGCAATAGCGAGCCCGAGACGTTTTTCCGGTTTTAATCGCGACGTTGCGAATGGTGGGGGTGGCCGCTTTTCGATGACTGCCTGCCTCACGCGCGGAATGTAGTAGAATTTGCTGAAGGAGACGATGCATGCTGTTGCGACGATGACGCCGACTCCTAGACCGAGAAACGTTAGGCCGGTGGAGAGACTGTCGAAGCCGTATTCTTTCTTGAAGACGTATGGGAAGGCGGCGAAGAAGGCGTAGAGGAGACCAAAGTTGAAGGCACTATACGCATTGAATGTGGCGATGATGGGTTCGGTCAAGAGCATGTGCATTGGCCGGGTAAGCGTTTTTGTCACATATGTGCTGACGATTTTTGGCAGTGGCATGCCTTCGGTTGGTGAGAGTGGAAGCGGGAGATTGAGTTTTTTTGCGCGCTGACGGAGTAGGACGGGCTTGTATGATTCCACGAAGAAAGGTGCGGGCGCTATAACGAGCACGACCGTGAAGAAGAGTATCAGCCACGATGTCCAGCGCCATCCTTGACTCTGTGTTACGGCAGCTCCCAGTAGGGGACCTATGGCTGGTCCAAAAAAGGGCGTTGCAACGTATAATGACATAGGACCTGACCGTTTCTCAGGCGGCCATATATCACTCAGCGTGCCAGAACCCATACTCAGACTCGGCGCGGCAAAAAATCCAGACCAGAACCGTAGAATCACCAACGTGGCCATGCTGTTTGCAAATCCAGTTCCCAAGGTGAACAGCGCAAAGATAGGCAGGCTGATGAAAATAACGGGACGCCGTCCGAATGTCTCGCTCAGAGGTGCTGCAAATGGTCCGCCAAATGCCAGGCCAAGCGAGTAGATCGAGTACGCAAAAGTTGAAACAAGAGTCGAGGAGTTGAGTTCCAAAGCGGCCACTTCAATCGCAGGTGTAAACACTGACGACGTAAACGTGCCTACAAACGCAATCCCGGATATCGTATACGTCTGGAACCACTTCCGTGCTGCACTCCAATTGTGCGGGTTAAGAGGGTCATCCGGACCATCCCAATCCATGGCTTTTGGTCGTTCTTGTGGTTGTAAGGGTGCGTCGGTCGCATTCACTGTTGCTGCAGTTGTAGTATCCAAACCCGAGCTCTGCTGTACCTGCTTCTCCTCGCCATACCCGGGATTCACCATGCCTTCCTGCACCGACGACTGCCGACTCTGCTCAGCAGCCTTCTCCACATCCTCGCGGCTCGCCCGTCTTGTCGATACCGCCGTATTTTCCGACGACGACGCCCGACGCGACGGACTCGGTACACCACCAACCATCGAAAAGTCAGAAAAATAAAAATAAGCCACTCTTGAAATTTAATTTCTTTTACGAAAGAATACCAAAAGAATCTTGGATAGTCTAAAGAAGAGGAAAGAAAAAAAAAGTTGAGAAACATCGAAACCCACACTCACACACGAACTCCTAACCGTAGCAAGCAAAACGAAACAAGCAAGATGCAAAAAAAAGGACGCTTGGGCCCCGATCCACACATTCCTCCGGTAGGAGTTTCCCACCTTGATCTTGAGACCCATAACGTCGGTAGCGCACCGATGTGTAGGCGTCATGCTTCAATCCGTACATGTAGATAAGATGATCATTAAGCTAACTCTCTAGCCCTCCAGTCAAGTACACACATATAGTAATAGAACAGCCGCGCGCTGCAAATGCCCCCGCAATGACAATGTCGGAACTCTATTTTACCCTTCCCGATCTCGCGATACGTGATGATGGCGTCTTTGTCGCGGCGATCTTGACGCCAGAGTGCAGATTTGGGGGCATTGGTTTGGGCATTGTTGAGCCTCGGATGTGATGGCGTGGGGGGGAACCGAGCTGAGGCTAATGCTAAGGGCGTCGTCGGGACCGGGCCGATCGCTTTATTTTGGTAGACAGGTAGAAAGGTGGGTCTTGTAGGGAGATTTTGTGGGTGCTTGTTTTTTTTTTCTTGCTGGCTTCACATGTTCGCCCTTTTTGTGGTGATCAATTAGAACATGTTTTGTTTTCCCTCCTGTTGCTAAAGTTATGCGTCCAGTAATGAAATTAGTGTGCATTTCAATTACGTGCGGCTAGGCAGAACGGGATTTTTTGTTTGAATGGTCTGGTAAAGAAAAAAATGTTTGAATCCCCCCCTTCTCAAGGGTCTTATCTGTTACCCACGCGTGACTCGTGAGTCTGCACATTCATGCCGAGGCTGTTGTTGGATTTCACGGCGAGGCCGAGGGGGAACGCGTCGCAGGATAGGATGACCCAAGTCACATCTCCACTATTATTTGGTCGTTCTAAGACTACAGCCGAGCATGAATGCGACAGTATCAGGACTCTTGCAAGACAGGAAAAGGGGGCTGGCATGATTGATAATTCACTGGCTACCATTTTACTACATTTTTCAAGTATAAAGATGAGAGCAGAAAGTCACACGCTACGAGTAGCAATACACGAAAGAGAGTAATAAGACATAGACGCGAATCAGAAAAAGCCAAGTACAAAAAGCGTGCCCTAAGCCAGGAAATAAAGTCTCCAACGTAGAAGTCACCACCACTAACATGCTAATCCAAAAACAACATGCTTCATGAAACACAGAGTAGTTATACGAACGTAAAAACTTGTAAACTATACATTGACAACCAGAACTTATACACTACATCTCTCTCGTTACCTTACCCTTTTCTCACCCAAGTATGCTATTTCTACGCTTCCTCCTTATATGCTCCTCAAGTACTTTCTGTTTCCATGCCCATCTCATCTAGCCTTCCCGACTTTTTTTATTGTTTCTTCTCCAGAAGGATTTACTGAATGTCGAACAGCTGCTTGAGCTGCACGATCAGTTTCCATTCCTCCTGACTGACATCGCTTCTGAAAAACTCCTTGAGCGTATCAATACTCTTCCTGCTCACGGCAGAGTACAGCGTATCGCCCTCTTCCAAGTGACGACCGTACATAGGCTGGCTGCTGGCTTCAATCTTGACAGCGACGGAAGGCTGGCCCTTCTTACAAATCTGCATCGGCTTGTGGTCTCGCTCAATGGATGTACTGTGACGGATTAGCAGATTATATATCGTAGAGGATTGCAAGACTTACACTCTTCCGAGTTGAATGATTTCCTTGGTACCAGTGGCAGCATTCTTCTTGATTGCGCAGATTGGAGTTGTCATTCTCAAAGCACCTTCAACAACATCCACACCAATGATGATGGGATTGGTCTTGTTGAAGACGGCAACGGGCTTGAGTACGCACGGGAAGACAGCCAACATCTTGGACTCCTCCTTCCTTTGCTCCTCAAGTTGCTTCATATGCGCCGTGAACTTGTCAAACAAATGGTAGATGATATCCGCTTCGAAGATCTTGACGCCAATCTCCTCAGCGAAGGCTTTGGCTTCCTTGTCAACCTTGACATCGAAACACAACATGACGGCATACTCTTTGGCCTTTTCTAACATGATTCCTGCACGAAGCACATCTTTCCTGAAGACAGGTCCGATGGAGATGGTAGAGACAGGAATCTTGGAAACGCGCAGGAACTCGAGCAACGCCTCAAGAGATCCGAGAGTGGAGGCCTGAACGGAAACACCACGACCAGTCTTGGATACCTTGCTGAGCAGGTGGGCGAGGTCACCCATGACTTCGTCCATGAGGTCTTCTTCGTCGTCATCCGGACCAACAACGAGTAGTCGCGAACCAGCAATGGCTTGGTCAAGACCATCGGCAGCAATCTTGATACCCATGGCAGCCTTGACTTCCTTGTTGTGTACGTATTGAGATTTGACACGCAACTCCTTCATCTCGGCAGGCGTTAAGAGCGCTCGAATATTCGTTGCTATGGGTTCTGGATTACCGCACAACACGATTCGATCACCCTCATGAAGCACACCGTTTGACAGGATGACATCGATTGTCGTACCGAGACCTTCAATGACCTTGACTTCAAGAACAGTACACTCGACCTCGGAGAGGTACATGAGGTTGTTGGTCAGGCGTTCTTGAGTAAGTTTGACAATGAGCTTGATCATATCTGGAATACCCTCTCCGGTGTGTGCCGAGGTCGGGCATACGGACACATACTTTGACATGTTCTTGTTCTTGAAGAAGAGCTCCGAGTTGAAACCCTGTTCTTGCAGCTGCGTGCGAACAAAGTTCCATCGCTCCTCGAATTCACTCTGGACGGACTGTTTCTGCAGGCTGAAACTGTCCTCAAAACCGTTGTTGTCAATCTTCTTCCAGCCGAACAGACGATCAATCTTGTTGAGCGCTACGATGAAAGGTGTTCGCTTATCTCGGAGAAGCTTCATGGACTCGATAGTCTGGGGCTCAAGACCGTGCATAATGTCAATGACGAGGATGGCAATGTTACAGAGCGATGAACCGCGAGATCGGAGGTTGGTGAAAGACTCGTGACCAGGTGTGTCAATGACGAGGAGACCGGGAACGTTGAAGACGAATTCGTTATTCTTGTTGACAACCGCAGTCTTCTTCTGGAGTGCTTCGACGGGGAAGTAAGTGGCACCAATCTGTTGGGTGATACCTCCAGCTTCGCCTTCCTGCACATTGGTCTGTCGGATCTTGTCAAGCAACTTCGTTTTACCGGTATCGACGTGACCAAGAATACAGCAAATGGGAGAGCGGAGGTTGTCTTTGGACCGGGCTGCCATGGCTTCCTCGTGAGCTTGTTTGCGTCGTTCAGCAGCAGCAGCTTTGCGCGCAGCTTCGGCTCTTTGGGCGGCAGTTCCTTGCTCATCTTCAGACGAGTCGTCACTATCTTCTTCAGAATCTGACTCTGAATTGTCCTTCTTAGCTTCTGCGGCAGCTGCCTTCTCTGCTGCAACCTTCTCTTCCTTGGCCTTCTTCTCGCTCGCTTTGCGCTCTTCTTCCTCGTCGGTATCGACGTCCCAGCTGTCTTTGACGCCATCTAGCTCGTCGGCTTGCGCCTCCCAGTCGTCTGCAGAGTCTCCATCTTCACCCTTCTTTGCTTCTGCATCGAGGCGGGCTTTCTCGGCCTCTTCGGCTGCCTTGGCGGCTTGTTCCTCAGCCAGCCTGAGTTCTTCCATCTTCTTGGCAGCCTCTTCAGCCTCACGAGCCTCCTTCTCCTTCTGACTCTCACCCTTCTTCTTCTTTTTCCGGTCATCATATACTGGCTTCTTCTTCTTTTCAGGCTCGTCAGCCAGGCCTGCGACCTTTGTGTTTCCTTGTTCGAGCAACTGCTGTAGACGTAGCTCGTTCTTGGCTTTTGCTTCCTTTTGGGCTTTGGTCATGTACTTGCCCTCTTTCTTGAGCTGTTCAATCTTTTCCTTCTCCCTTTGTTTCTTCAACGCCTTGGCCTCTTCTTTGCGCTTTTGCTCCTCTGCCTCTTGTCGCTCCAACTCGAGTAGCCTTTCTTTTTCTTCGGCCTCGGCGCGCGCAATCTCCTCTTCTCTCTTCCTACGCTCTTCCTGTTGTTTCTGAAGGGCGGCTAGAGCAGGGTTGATCTTCTTCTTCTTGCCACCAGCAGCAGGGGCGGCCTCTGCAGCAGGTGTAGGCGTAGAGGCGGCGGCTGGCTTGGACTCGGCAGCCTTTTCAGGTTCGGCCTTTGCAGGGCCACTGGCCTTCTTCTTCGCAGCCTACAACGATTTGTTAGTCAAGAACAGTGCCGAGTGCTTCTACAACGACAAACGTACCAGTTCCTTCTTTCGCTGCTTCTCCTTCTCCTTCTTCTCTTTTTCCTTCTCCGCCTTGGTTTTCACTCGCGGCGCATCCGTAGGCTTCTCCTCTGCAGGCTCTTCTGCCTTTGCAGCACCGCCCTTGCCCTTCTTCTTGCCGTAGTTGCCAGCGAAAACGTCGTCATCATCGTCGTCGAAGCCCCCTTCTTGTGGTGCCTTGTCCTGGAAGTCTCCACCTGCACCGTCAGCAGGCGGATCTTCGCCTTCGACATCTGGGTTGGCGCCCTTCTTGTTCTTCTTCTTGCCACGCTTTGCGAGGGCAGCCATCAGGCCTCCGCCTGCGGCATCGTCCTCTGCAGCAGCATCTTCAGGCTTTGCTTCTGCTGCATCCCCATTCTGTGGCGCAATGGTCTCGCCTAACTCGGCCTCCCAGTCGTCATCCTGCGCCTTCTTGTTGCCCTTCTTCTTTGGCGGCATTGTATATCAAGTGTATTAAGTCGAGCGGTTATGCGAGATGGAATATGCAGTCGCCGTGAAGAAGACGTTCCGGTGACGAGCACAGCGCAATCACACTCGGAAGGCGAGTGGAGGGGAAGTTCAGTGCGAGGCGGCGGATGTGGTACTAGCGCTGTCAAGCTTCAAGCAGCAGATGAAGGAGTGGCCAACAACTGTCAGTAAAACTGGAGCCCAACCGAACCCAGGTCCCGTGAGTCAAAGACTTCAACCAATGAAGGCCTGGACCGTACGTGGAAAAAGAGCGTTGTAGAAACTTGCACCCAGAAGCCACAGCAAAGGCTAAACGCACACACGAGGCAGCGAATTTCCGTTTGTTATCGATTGTTCTGTGCGGCGGCGGCGGGCGACTTTGGAGGGGTAATTCTGCAGGCGCTCGGACCACCCACCCATGGGCAGCAGAGTTCACCTCATCACCAGCATCAGCAAGAATATATCTAATCAAAGATATGGACACGAAAGTGATAAGACAAGCTACTAGAACACATTCAAGGCGGGGGTGATTACGTTTCAATGCCTCATGGTGAGACGTGCTTATCTTACGGCGGTATATCTACTCCTATTTTTTTTCCCTTCCCAATGCAAAACCAGTACAAGTGACTGACTATAGCTGCGACCGTTCCATAACTCTAAAAGAATAAACGCCCCTTTCAAATTAAACTCCGACCGAATAGAATGCGACATTAGGTAATGATGACGGCAGAAGCTCCATGTTATAAGCTAGCATCGCACGGCAAAACACAAAGTAACAAGCTCAAAAGCCCTAGTACAGCTGGCCACTGATGAGCAGCGACTCGACCGCAGAACCAATAAACTGCTTCTTGAGCGTGAGATCACATCCAAATCTATTAAACTGTTAGTTGAAGCCATAAGAAGGAATTTCAGAAAACCATACCTTTGCTCTAGCTCACTCTTGATCTGCTTCTTGGTGACATTCATGAGGTCAGACTTGGACAGAATATCCTTGATCTCAACCAGGATGGCCTCATCGCTTGGCAGGTTGGCCATCTCCATACTGTCCATTCCATGACCGCTGTGCGCGAGACTCAGTCGTGAATGGTTGTCGTAGCGGGGAAGATTGAGATGAGACATGGATCGAGATGGGGCCATGCCTCCGTACTCTGAGCCAGCGACAGATGCGTTTCCGAATGGCTTCCTGGTGGCGTATGTGTAACCGGAAACCTCTGAGCGGTCATCGCGGATTGTGTGCTGCTCCCACATCTCTGCCTGGTATTCTTCCCATCGCTTCTTGGGAATGGATGCAGGGTCGAACTTGCCCTCGTCTGATACAACGATATTCTGACCCTTTTCACCAACGATAAGACGTGTGTTACCCCATGAGAAATCGTCCATGAACCAGAAAGAGTACAATGGGAGGGCGAAAGAGAAGACCGGAGTGGCAAAGATGTAGATGATCATCCAGCCAATCATTTCCCATTTGCGTCGGACAATGAAGATGATTGCTTGCAAACCATAGATTGCACCCAAGAGAATGAATGCCGTTATGGGTACAACGTCCGGCGTGTAGATCAGTACATAGGCAAGGTAACCAATGTAGATGATAATGACGGGCTGGACAACGGTCGAAAGAAGATCCATGAAGACAATGAAGCGCATACTGAAACAGCAGAAACCACACAGTTGCTGCAGCGGAATCAGTTCGACCAAGTTGTGCACTGTAGAGTTGATCCAGCGACGACGTTGTGAGATGAAGACAGAGAAACTATCAGGAGCGACAGTCCAGGCATGTGCTCGCATGGTATACTTGGTCTTGTACTTGGGATGGAACTTGATGAGCAGCGTGGTCAGATAACGATCTTCTCCGAGATGCAGCAAGTTCTTGGTGTGCAGCGTATCGACTCGAATCTCTTGATAGGCTTCCACGACTTCTTTGCTGACGAACAATGGCTTTCCAGTCTCGGCAGCGCGGATACGGTACATGGTGAAACAACCGGGAAGACAGGTGACGGAGCCGAACAAACTCTCAAAAGCCTTTGTCAAGTTGTGAGAAATGAAGTATTCGTAAACCTGCATCATCGTAACGAATGAAGACTTGGCGTTACTGAGAGCCGTTTCACCACAAATAGCAAGCAGACGAGTATCGTGAAGGAAAGCAGCAACGAATCGAGTAGCGGAGTCGGATGCAATCTCAGTATCAGCGTCGATTTGCAGCAGGAACTCATAAAAGGTGGGATTGACACCAATGATGTTACGGATGTGGTGATGCATCTCAAGTTCCAGTGGGCTCATGGGAAGATTGTAGTGAACGCGGTTCAAGAACCGCATGAGGACAATCTGGGAGTCACGCTTTCCTCGGTTACCAGGCTTGGAGACTTCAGAGGGCTTTCCGACCTTGACGATGACCAAGAAGGGAACAATGTGACCCTGTACTTCATACAGACCAGAGTAAATCTTGCCCATGTTGTGCTGGCGTTGACCTTCACCCAAACTCTCGAAACTCAATGGGTCTGGGTCTGTGGCTTCCGGTACACCAAGAATGTCGAGCACGATACGGGGAGTTGGCTTGTCGTTTCCTTGACCGATAATCATACCATCGCAGACAATAACGAGGAGTTTACGTTTGTCGTCATACTTCATCCTGGCAGCAGAATCAATGGCACGGCGCAGAGACTCCTCGTCTTCGGTATACGCCGGGACAGTGGCGATGATGAACTTGTCGAGGTTTTCCGGATCGGTTTTGCGACTGAACTGGAGAGCTGCAAGGAACTTGAAAGCAACAATGGCGGCCAACATGATGGAGATGGCAAGCAGGAAGTAGGTAGCAAATTGACACCTTGCCGAGTTCCTCGTGTCGACATCTCCGACGTAGAAGAGGTTGTTGAGACAGGTCAGCATGTTCGACTTGGACTGGGCGTTCAAAGGAAGGTTGTCCCAGTACTTGCTGATATCTTTACCAGCCTGAACTCGGAAAATGTCCACGACAGAGTCTTCCATGAAGTTGGTGTCAATGCCACCGTTACCTTGATCTTGACCAGCGGGGAACTTGACCTGACGACCACCGGGGATGTAGTCCGTGAGGTCGTACACCTTGCCGTTCATGTAAGCGATAGCGTTACTCTTTGAAGCAAGCGTCTTGAGGTACTGAGGACTGTAACCAAGACGTCCCTTCAAGTAGTTGGCCTTGAGGAACATTTGCTGCTCGTACCACCAATCGGGGCGAGAATCGTTGGTGAAGGAGCGGAAGTCGTGGTATTGAGCGTTCAAGTCAGTGGCACTGATCAGGTTGTTGATGGTGGAGTCAGTGTAGTTGGAGTTCTTGTAGTTGAGCTGGACGGCAGGGTCGATTCCTTGACCGCTCTTACCCAAGCACAAAGCAGAGACTTGTACAGGGAACAGATTGGTGGCGTCCTTTCCAGCATACTTCTCCAAATTCTTCTGAGGGACAATGCTAGGGTAGTGGTGAGGGATGAATGAGCCAAGATCGTAAACTACACCACGGATGCCCACATAGGCTTTCCTGTTTTCCTTGCCGTCGAAAGAGGACAATTCGGCAGTGGAGTAGACATTTTGCTTAGGACAAATGACCCTGGGGAAACCAATCATGAGGAAAATGACGAAGGCACAACTCCACCAAATGATCATGTTGATGGCTAGCTTTTCACGCCACGCCATACGAACATCTTTACGGGGGATCCGCCCGATGACTCGGATAGCCCAGTCAGGGATGAGCCAAGTCATGAGGTAAACAATGAAGACCCATCGCTTTCGGCTGCCGGAAACAGGGACTGTTTCGACCTCTTCCAGCTTTGCGTCTTCAGTCTTCTCATCCAAGGCCTTTGGCTGTTCCAAACCGTGGAACATGTCACCGTTGGTGATACCAGATGGGGCTTCTGAACGAGCATCAATGTCTCGAGCGCCGAAATAGTTGCCACCCTTATCATCATAGTATCCGCCAGGCGATGGTGAAAGCAGACCCGCTCGAGCATCGCCAAAAGAGCGGCCAGCATCAGGAGTGTGCAGATTATCATTGGAGTCAACTGGGCCGCGTGCGTAGGGAGTGACACCGGAGATGTTTGCAATCTCGAGCCAGCATTTCTCGCTCAGGAATACACCAGTAGCTCCGACGCGAACTTCATTCTCTCGCCATGGCTTTTGATCGAGAACCATCTCAGCCTTCTCCTTGTCGCTTCCCACGATAGCGAGATCAGTTTGAGCAAGTCCGAGGAATTCGGCAAACGGCATGAAAATGCTGTAATCAGCGACGCGCAAGCGTTGACTAATCTCAGCAATGCCCAAAGCCTGCACCTGCTGGCGCACGCATTTGCTGTCGAATTGGTTGGCAATTCTTCGGTCATTGGGCTTCAAGCAGAAGACGAAGTAGGCATTGGCCTTGCGGAGCGTCGACTCAATGGTCCTCAGAGAACTGATGAATTGACCTGCAGCACCAGTTTGCTTGGCCGATTCGCCAGGCTTCCTGACTCCTGAAGTGGTGCTCTCTGCATCGCTCATGGCGTCCTCGTCGAAAACGTTGAGAGGACGTCCAAAGCGGCCAGTCTTGTCAGCCTTGCGTTTTGCCATGCTTGGCTGGCGGGTAGGCTTGGAGCTGACGGTAGCCTGGACAATGGTGGATTTTTCTTTGGGATGAGACATCTTCTGCAGGGCCTCTTGTCCAAAAAGCTGTTGGATGAAAGGAGCCTGGGCAGACTTGAGCAGATGCATCATGTCACCAGAAATGAGTTCAGCGTTCTCCTCCATAAGACCCTCGACACTGTAGTCTACATCACCAGTGAAATGACGGATGGTGAAGGCAGGCGAGGTATTGGGTGTGGGGAAGTTGCTTCCTGGCTGCACGACTGTCAGGCTACCTGGAACAATGGCCTGGTTCTTTCCGTCAAAACGCTTGCGAATGGCCTCGAGGAACTGCATGTCGGTTTTACCACGACGCATTTGATCGTCAAGAATGCTGAGCAGTCCGTTGCCTGGCTTCATCAAGCCCGCCTTGA